TAATTAGGATCAAAACTGGCAATCTTTGGCTGGACACACGTATACAGTAGATGTTTCTTGTATTTAGTATCAAACATTTGTGTGGGTCAGGGCAGCTATGGCACGGTTAGTTGTCACGCAAATTGTATGATTCTTGTGCTTTTCTGCATATTATATTATTCAAAGTTTGACCAAGTGGGATGTGTCAAGTTTCAAGGGATGATGTGTGTTCCAGATGACAGGTCCAGCCTTCCCATAAATGCTCACTGCTTGATGCAACACTTAAACCAAATGCAAATGTTGCTTGACCGCGAAGCAGCAGCTCATGTTGGAAAACACATCGAACATTTTGAAGTCCTTAACCACTGTCAAAACCAGACTGCAGTGTCCCAAGTGGTCCGTTTGCATTGTATAAATAAACAGGGAGAGGTACAACTTCACTGTAGTTTCGTCGTTTTTGTCAATGGAGGAAAGTCAATTGCGCTCAAAGCATTTGGCACCAGCGGGTATATTATATGAACTGTTACTGCTACTGCTACCAAACAACAAACAACAACAACAACAACAACAAGAACCACTGCTACTCCTGCTGCTGCTACTACTACTACTACTGCTTTTGCTGCTACTACTACTCTACTGCTACTACAACAACGTGTTCATGTACTGTATGTTCATAGTATGTTGTTCTGTCGCGACTCTACTACTACCACCACCGGGGTCACCGGGGCACCTTCTACTGCTGCTTCTACTCGACTTATTGCTGCCTTGCTGCCACTACTACAGATGATCTAAACCATTACCACTCCAATCAAGATGAAACCTCAAGTTTTTGACTTGAGATTTGACGCTGCATTTTATTATGTTTGTTCTTTTTTATGTACGACTCTTTGTGCAGGCTCAAAGGCTGTCCGAAGCGTCCAAAGCTTGGTTATTGTCCCGCCCCTGCAAACTTAGTGAACATTAAGACTCCACCGGTCTTCAAGTCTAGCCACGGAGCCGTCTGAATTGTATATATGTGCCTTGATTGAGCTGTGGCCAGCAAATACTTCGAGGTCCGGCCGCAGCGCGAAGAAAAGCTTCGGCGCCGCAAGTCGGCAGAGGTGGGTTTGAGGCCTTGTGTTATGCTGATCTCAGCAAGAGCCATTTCAAGGTGCTGCCGGAGGACACGTAGCTTGGAAGCAAATGTTGTGCAACTTTGTGGTGCGCAAACGGCAGCTGGAGGAATCCTTGAGCCATTAGACAGTGAGTGTTGAGTGTGCACATTGAAAAAATGTTGCAACTGTTCTTTGTTTGTAGAAAGCTCGCAGAGTCAAGAATGCGAGGTATCCTGTCGGGGAAGTGCTTTTCTCTCGCTTTGAGCCAGAGGTACGCGATTTGGTTGTGGAGCTGAAGCTTTAAAACTACATTTATGTTTGCCTTTAAAGGAGACTGGAACATGTTCTTGTTAGGATCATTTCAGTCCGGCTTTCTAGAGAGACTTGCATCAATAAAACTTCAATCAGCACCCTACCAGCAGACTGTCCCAGGTGGAGGCCTTGAAAACTGATGAAGACATCCGCCAGGCCTGGGCCAATTGCCAGCGAATGGACGTGCCAATCACACTGCATATACACAGACATGAATAGTGCTTCTACCGAATTGCATGCGTGCATTAAAGGTTCCTAATTCTGACCCTTGTTCACTCACCATGTTGAAGTTCTTAAGTTAGTTAGTAGTAGCACTTCGGGAAGTCACTCGTGAGGCTTTCCATGCAACAGCACGACCAGCCCAGGGAGACGTCACTGTGAGGCCACACCGTCGTGGAGGGTTCCGCGCACATGTAGCATGCAGGTTCCACGTTTTTGATCTCTCCGCAGACTCCGCAGCACAGTTTTGCTTGGTTGGCTAAGATTGCTTGCCCTGTGTTTCCTTGGCCTCCTTTTGCGAACCAGCTTTGTTTTCAAGAATGAGCTGTTAATGTGATGAGTGGCATCCGCTACTTTCCTCCAAAAGGATCAGCAGGGAGCGACTGTTGACCAGGTTGCCAGCTCCCGTCGAAGGGCAAGAGGAGCAAAAAGGCCTCAAACGACAGCAGAAAGTTCGGAAGGTGCCATGGGAGTTGGTGCTTGCGGCTGCTTTCTTTCCGTGATTTGAAGGAAGCTTCTTTCCTTTCACATGATTTGAAAGCAGCAGTTGTTCCTCTATGTTTTTATGTTTTGTTTTCCGCTATGTCATGCTTGGTACTAGTTGCATTGGCCATCTAAAGTCCAGTAATGAACCACTGACAAGCAGTGAAGCAAAACGACAGTCATCAAGGGGACATGAAAGGCTTTCGGCAGATGCACGCTTTTCCAAGGTGCAGAACGTCCATATGCCTGGCTGATGCTTTGTGTTTTCCTAAAAAAAAACCATGTGCAGTCTCAAGTCAATGGTGCTGAAATGGCACGAAGACTCTCAGCATCTCTCAACTGCTATTGCCATGCTTGCTTTTCCTGCTGAGTGCAGAGTGAACTCAATTGGAAAAAGTGCATCATTCTTGCGCTAGATATGTTGCTAATTGTCGTTATGCAGCTTCTTGCAGCCCTGCACTGAGTGCACTGAACCCAAAGGTACGCCGAGGGATTTCGCCTGGTCGAGTCTTCTTGGTTGGATACTCACAAGGCCGCGCATTTTGCTGTGTTTCGTGACTCAACATAGTTTCTCACACGATTGGAAGAGTTTGCAAATTCTGGGCAATTTTGAGATGGGTTCTCTTTTCTCTCTCCACAAGTAATGAGTGACAAAGCAAAGTGGCCCACTAATAGCAATGGCCTCCAACCTAATAGCGATAAAAAGAACTACAGTAATATGGCAGGCTTGTGATCCCTTGAGTTCCTTGTTGCGGTTTGATGGCCATTTCTTCCACCTTTTGGAGGTGGTGGTCTCGCTTTAGCTTCAGCCCTGCGAGCACCCAGAAAAATTGGTGGAGCTCGACCCTCGGCAGCTGTCCTTTGTTTTTTCAGAGTTTTCCCGACAGATCTGATCCACAGATTTGATTCGAGAATGGTCTGGTGGAGCTAAGCACTGATTGCAAGGCAGCCAAGCTTTAAACAGATTCCGAGAACAATTGCAGTACTCCCAACCAATCCAATTCTAGTTGCTTGTATTGAGTATGTTTCTTTAAACAATTGAACAAGAAACACCTGAAAATGCAACCCTACCGTACCAGGTTTTGATGCTGAGCTCCTGGGCGACTTAGCATAAAACAGGACCACAATTGCACAAAGACTTGTGACATATGTACTGTCAGATGTCCTATTGATTCGTTGATTCAAACGCAATGGAATGTCAGATTTGTTCAGAACTGCTGATCAATCAGTGTTTAACAAAGAAATCCTCGGAGAAACCGTTCATGCGCTGAACAAATCGATCTATGCAGTTATCGCAGCTTGAATACAAGGGTAGACGGTACGGTAGACGCGATGGAAACGCTACTGGTGTACACGGTTTTGATCGGTTTTGTGAGTTCATCATATATACTCGGGCGGTGTGTGAGCATCAACTGCGCAATTGTGTTTTGTCCTCAATGACCAAGGTGGCAGAGCCTCTACCGAGCGATTTTCAGGACATGCAGTGATGCAGATGCATCAAGGATTGTGCAGTCCCGTAGTGACAAGAATTGCACTCAGAATGGATTGAGCACAATCACGCTCCTCGAGAATGTCAGGTCACTTGCCCGGGGCTTTTGCTCGCAAGCTGGGAGCAAGACAAGATTTGCTCGTTCTCGTTGTGGCATGTCAGGATGTGCCCGTGCATTTCTTCCATGGGGCAGAAGATCCCGTTGTTAGAGCCTTGGACAAGCTACGACTGAAGTGCACTGAAATAATTGAGCTGCCCAGTCTACACCTAAATAACAAGTGTTGACTTGTGCATTGTTCATACTTCTTTGTGCTAGTTGCCAGTTGCCATAAATAGGTCACCTTGAGCGGTGCGAAAGATGACCGACAGTGGCTGGAATCTAGAGGGCTCAGGAGTCCAGTGTGCACTTGGTCTTCGGATGTTTTTGGGTTGAAATACCCACACAACCCACGACACCAAGAGAGGCTTCAGAGATGCTATACTGCAAACACTTTCTTGGATGTGTGGCAATCTGGGAGCCTCATGTAGATAATTATCCAAATGCGGTGTGCAGCATTTATTTGTTTGTGTTTGGCATATAAAAATTAGTCAATTATTAGCGAGCTTTGCAGTAAGTTAGCTGTGGTTTGTTGTTAGGATTGACAAGCTCCCGTAGGGCGCCGGGCCGGAGGGTGCACTGACAATCCACATTGTGCTCACATGTTTCTCACTTTCTCGTGTCGGACCTGGATTGGTTCATGACTGGGTCCACAGTGAAAGTGGCACAGTGTCTCACAGTTGGTCCTGGCGAGGACAACCTTCCATGCCTACCCGGGCATGAGCCATGGCGTTTGTGATGAAGAGGTGCAGCTTGACCTAGCGACCTAGCTTGGATTTGTCAAGTTTGGTGACAGATTCAGAGAGAGAGAGAGAGAGTGAGTGATAGGGAGAGAAAGAAAGCAAAGGTAGGGTAGGGTTTGAAGTGCCATAGAGAAGAGTGAGTGGAAGAGTGATAGTGGTCAAGCGCCGCAGGTAGCAGACATTGCGCAGACCTTCTATGAAGCACTGTGAACAAACGTGCGGCTGTGCTTGGTGGTTCGAAAAGGGCGATCAGAGCACCTGCTAGAACTGGTCGCCTGGATTATGTGCAACCTCACTGGACTTGCACGAACCATAATATGCGAGGTTGAAGCCAGTGGCTAATTTGTATGTTTGTTTCTTGGATTTGCTCAGTGCAGCCGCTACAACCGGAATGGATGTCATCTTACCAGAGATCTTACCCCTTGCAGGCACAAAAGGCTTGTGGCCTCCCACAAGCCTAGTAAGAAGCAACATCACACTACACTCCCAACACCAGACCATGTGCACACAGTGTAGCAGAAAGGCTTCATGGTCTTGATATGCTTCGACTGTTTTACTATTATTCAATTGTCTCAGTTTGTAAAGCATGAAGGAGCCCTTTCGGGCGAGCTCCAGCCATGCATCAACACAATACCAGGTTCGGAGCGTAGGTGCGGCTGCGCTGCCAGACTGCCTTGTGAGCTGATTTAACTAGTTCTATTATAAAATGTTTCTGGGTGGCATTCAAAGAAGCACATTCCAAGGCACGAAGTTTACTAACAAACTCTTGTTTGGGGCATTTTGATTGATTTTGGCTTCTCATTGCAGATGCAGAGCAACAACGCTGCCCAAGCTCCTCGGGTGTTTGTGAGTGCCCTGCCTGCTGCCTTGGCGCAGAATTTGCACCTCGCCCTATCAGTCCAAAGGATTTGTCGCGGTTCTTTCCTGTTAGAAGCAAGGTAGAAGTTGATGATGCCCGTTTGCGAAATAGTGGTAGCCACGATTTGATTTCCAAGAAGACAACCATAGCCAAGTTAGATTTTATGAATTTGATGTTCTGATATGCCTTTAGGCTGCAACTTGATCCGAAACTGCATGTCATGCCAATGCCTTTGATGTCGAGAGGCCACTTCTCCACACTATCTTCACCACCTTCGGAGAAGTCGAGGATGTTTGGGTCTGATTCCAAGGTTTCAGCCTGTTGAGGCAAAGTCTTCAAGGGGCAGCATTACAGGCTTTTTTCATCCCGGTGGGTGGGTAGGGAGGAGACCACGGGGCTGAAAGGACCACTCACACACCCAGAGCGTTCACTTGGGAGAGCTGAGTGCCCAGCCTAAGCCCTGAAAGGAAACCCGGAAACCGTAGAGTTCCGTACGGTACACTTTGCGAACATTCTGGAACAAATCTCAGTTCCGGCCAGCAGAAATGTGGACCTCTCTCATAGGTCTTCAACTTACGGTGCTGTACAAATGCAAACAATGAAACCTTCGAGATTCTGGAGTGCCTGTCAACAAACCAAATGCCACATGGCAAATGAACTTGGGTACGCTTCTCAAGTGTGTGTATGTGAGGCCGCTGAAGAGGTGCAGCAAATCAAGAACATCAGAAAACAAATCTCCACTTCACTGGCTCTCAGCATCGCATAGCCGTTAACGTTTCAGGAATAAGTAATAAATGCCATCGCTGGTAGGCCGTTGCTAGTAGGTTGGAGGCATTGCAACATTTAAGCTTCGCGATATCCTCCTTTGTCAAGCCCCTGAGGCCCGTGTGGTGAATCGCACGCGAAGTGTGCACGAAAGCTGGGGATTTGTTCGCTTCAAGCTTCCTGAAGGCGTACCAGCTGTCAAGATTTGCAGTTCAGGGAGTCTCAGTGTGAAGGCGAAGAGGAATCTTAAGGTGATGCAAAAATCGTGTGTACGACAGACAGTCCAAATTTGAGTGGCGTGTGACCGCATTTGGTGACATCAGAGGTGCTGCAAGAGCTGTTTCCTTCGAAGACTGGGAAGGACTTCTGAAAGATTCAGGCTGGAGAGACAGAAGAGATTGAATGTGGAGTGGTATCTCCTGCGAGCCAAAATCTGGTGACCAGCTTGAAGAGGTCGTCGATTCTCCGGCATTGAGAAAGAATGCTTTACAATCAAAAGAGTCACAAGAATCAAGAGGACCTCCCTGATGGCGTGCAGTGTGAGCAAATAGAAACACGCAAGCGTGTTGAAAGATCATCAACACTTACAGCTTCAATCCACTACCACACTTCCTTAGCACATGATTGCTGTGTAAGTTTCTGAGTCAATCTAACACACTTTGGGGCTTCCTAAGTAATTACAGTTTGCATGTTATATGATTAACTATATATACCATGATATACACATACTCCTGCATATTCCTGGATCGCTCTTGGGGGGAATTGAAATATGATGAAAGCTGTGCTATTGACAATCCTTTGCTTAGTCCTTTCGTTGGTCCTTTGCTTCTATTTACTGTAATTGTTTTAGGACCTTCGGATCTAATTTGCAGGTCTCTCAGAGACCTCTTTGAACGTGGCCACTTGCGCTGCAGAGTCGGAGGCCTGGACACTTTCCGTTGGAGGCGACGGCTCACAAACCGTTCACGCCAGGAGGAGGTGGTGTCAGAGGCTACAGTCATCAAAGCGCTTGAAAGAGAAGGCACCCGGAATGCATGTTGTTTAATCTGACGTCCTGAGAGGCAATTCCATCAAACTTCATAGTTTGCAGTGTTTTGGTGTGTCAATTGGCGATGCAGGGACATGCTCACCTCTTGTCTCTTGTAGGACATAACCTTCCTCTCTCCTCGACCTCTCAGACCTTTTTAAACTGATTCTGTTCATCACATGTTTGCTTCCAGTATTTCCTTCAAGTTGGAAATGCACTCCCCTTGTCACGCTGTGTTCTTTCAATCTTAACAAGCAATGGCCGCTCAGTAGCCGATTCGAGGCACAGATGGTCGATGAATGCTGTTTGTGATCCACATTTAGCGTGCGGGCTGTATGTTCATGGACTCCGGTTGCTTCGTTCAAAAAGCAAAAGAGAATGAGAAGCAGAAAGAAACACCTATATGATCCTATATGGTACCGTTGAATTTCCCACAGAATCTAGCAACAAATCAATCATCGGAAACAGACATGACAAGAACAAGAACCATGAGAAAAAAGGAGCTCTCCGTATCGCTCCTAGATTGTTTTATGCTAAACCAATGGACTCGGTTAAAGCATGAATCGGGCAGAAAAGATGAACCCGCGTTGCTTGCCTGGTCAGATGCAGCTACGTTCGACTTTGAGTCCTTTCGTGGGAGATTTTCAAAGGATTTGGCACGCAACTTGTCCACATGCGAAAGACGTGGCAGATTGGTGTATGAATCTGGTAGAGGCTGGTTTCAAGCCCCATCAGCACACGGGCCTTTTCATCAAAACCTTAGACATTTTGGACTTAGAAGTTCAGAATCAAGCAAACATAAAATAAGCAAAGCTTGGTTTGGATGAAGCGTCTCCCAATACTAGCATGTTTTTGTTGGGGGGATCGGGATGTAGTCTTTTCATGTCTTTTCATGTAGTTCCAGGTCCAAAGCAGTGTCAATCTCGATGAATCGATCTTCTCCATGGAATCAAGGCCCCGTCTTGCGCCGAGATGCTGAAGTGATTTTCCGAGTGCTACAGCAGCATAGGCCGGAAGGCGGGGGTATTCACGATCCCCTGTATAGATGAATGTTAATAAAGATTGATAGTAATTGATGTTTTGTTTTGTTAAATGTATTTTGTCTTTTGTTTAGTTTTGGGGTTGAGTATGTGTGCACATACTAGCTGCTAGCCCACAGGGCACACAGTTTTGTGACAAGCCATACATCGAGGACAGTGAATTGTGATGGTTTCTGGTTGAATAACCGAATAAGCCACGTGAACTGCTGAAGTTGGTGCGATGATTCCAGTGAAACATTTATATACTCAACGCCTGATTCCCGTCAATATCTTTTGACATTCAAACATATTCAAACACATATTCTAACCATGCCAGAGAGTAAAGACAAAGACAAGACACAGCGAGAAATCGCCAAATTATAGAAATCATATGTATTTGTATTTGTATACACAGGAATATATTTAGGCTGGTAGCAAGAGGCGCATTTGTTCTTGCATTCGTTCCAACTGTTGGTCGAGTGCATTCCAATTCTTCAAGGAAGCTTCTCCCAAGTTTGGGTCTATATTATGTTTCAGACATATCTGTCAAATTCTTCCAAGAGAATATGATTATGTTGGAAATTTCCTTCAAATTCAAATTCTTCAATCTTCTTAGGATTGAAGGGTTTCTTCATTTGGAAGCATTACCAAGCACTACCAGTCTTCATTCCAAGCACTATTCCAATGTTATTTCATTTGAGATTGAAGATTGAAGCTCCAGGCCTGACACTACGCTCCAGGCGCAGCTGCAAGCTGCAAAGGATGCTGCAGAACTTCCAGGCGATGTCAGGGATTAGAGTTCCACGTGCCCTTCCAAGGCTGGTCTATTAAAAGACCGGTGTTTGAAGATAATTTTACAACCCTGTACACAGATTGTATACAGTGATGGCATTGGAAACTAATCTGCTATAAATTGACGAGTGTAGAATGGATTTGCAATTCTGGGAGCTTGACGCATTTGTCTTTTTTAGTGATGCGTTGTTGATGTTTTTGAGAGCAAAATTGACATGTAGCCTTGAAACAAACAAAAGGTTTGAACCTTGCTAAGAAGCACTGATTGCGGGCCTTGGAGGAGGCAAAGGCCTTCTGCTCCTCACTGCTTACTCGAGAAACTATGCTCCTGGCAAAGTGTGTGAAACAGCCAACCGAACGAACCTTGGCAAACAATGGACAGGCAGCTAATTAGAGCTGCGTGTTGGTGGCAAATACAGCAAGCCTTAAATTGTGACAAGGTAAGCAGCCTCTTCAAGCTTCGTTGACTCAGGCAGGTTTTGAACTTACTTAGCCAAGCCAGGTCATCTCAGGTGACCTTGCTTGAAAGCAAAGGCCTTGAACACTTCTTGTTAATTTGATATTTTTTGTTCTTTCAGAAACTTGAAAACAAAGGTATGCTGAGAGGCATGGCTATGACTTTGAGTGCGACGTCCTCCCGGCTGATGAAATGTTGGATGCAATTGCTCCACGAGACGCTCACACTTGGTACAAGGTGAACAGATGAGTAGGATGGGAGTCTGGGGCTCTTTCGGGCTTTTGGACCTTCCTAGATGTCTACAGTGTAAAGGATTTGCAGGATCTATAACGCCTATGCCTATATGTATTATTTATGTTAATATTGTCACTGTCACCTTGATTCCAGAATGTTCCGATTCTTCTTGCAGATCCCTGCAAATCACAATACAGACCGTTGCACATCCATGACTCCACAATATGGCGAGGGTAATTCCTGCAAATTGTCAGACCAAACATGCATGAACGAGTTGGTTGTAGACTCGCAGGTGCTGATGCTTCGCCGAGCAATAGCAGCAGGAAAGCATGGATTCGTTGTTTGGATCGATGCAGATGCCCTGGTGGTGGATCAGGAGAAGCCATTGGAAGCCTTCATTGCACAGGCGACAAATGCCAGTGCAAGCTGGGTGTGGGGGCTTAAACAAATGTGTGTTGCCATTAACGGCAGCTGCAAGGTTGCGGGATGACGGCACATGACGGCACCATAAACAAATTCAAGACTCTTCTTGTTTTTTCACTGTAGATAATTCCTTTTAACAATGTAGACAGCCAACGACTCAAGGTTATATAATTTACATTTACTTTGGAAGCATGTCAAGATGTGATTCTTCGGGATGAACATGTTCTGCCAGTAGCATCTGCTTTTGTCCAGAACAACGCTTCAACATCTCATGAATCCAGGGTAGATGAGAAGTGGAAGGCAACTGTTCGCATCTTCAGGCCAGCTGATACAAATAAAGGCATACACAACGGTCGACTTTTTGTTCGACAAATCACAGAAGTGCACCCTTCAGAATAACAGACAGTTTGCAATGCTGTCCAGGCTGAAGGCCGAGACCTCATTGTTCAAGAAGATCTTTCGGTGCACCACCCTTTCTGCGAAAAGAACGTTTTCCTGTTCAATAGATTCTACTGATATATAAACGTGAGTTTTCCCTTTATGGGGGGAGGGTAGACTCTAAAAGGGGGAGTTGTATAGCCTAAGCAATTAATAATTAGTACATAGCCATAGCAAGGAAGCTACTGTATTACGTACAAGGACACAGGAGGGGCGGGGTAGAAGCTTCCTTGAATATCCTTGAATAAGAATCCGTCGCATGGTGGAAACGGTTGCTACGTTCTCGGGAAACTAGGTCTTTACAATATAGCTATAATACTATACTATACTATATTTCATTATATACAACATACACGTTTTGTGCTGATACGTTTCGATCAATCAAGAAGCAACATCCGAGGCAGAATGTCGCATAAATTGTGGCGTGATGATCTTCCGGAGGAGCCCATGCTTGCTCGGGTTGTGCACGGCGTTTCAATGCCCTGAACCATCCAACATCCTCACAGAGGAGATGTCAGGACAAAGTAGTTAGCCATTTTAAGATCGGTCCATATACACGATTGTACAGGTAAGTATGACTGATATGCAGGATATTCAAACGTAATTTTATGCAAGTTAGTTTTTGTGTTGTCCGCATGTGTCCAACATCAAGCAAGGAACACCTCTCCATTTCCTCCCGCGATTGCAGTGGAGGCGGTATTATGAGCCGTAACAAACAAACTCCAAACCAAGACTGGTCTTCCTGAATCCACGGCGTCTCCCTCTCTCGGTGTTGCCGTGCTCCTGAGAGAGCCTCCTCACATCGCCGGTGTTGACTATGCGCTGCAAAGGACGTCTTGGTGCCAAACTTTACTACGATTATTGTGGGAAGGCAATCTTTCAAGACGGCATCATTGCAAGGCTTACTATGACGCTGGGCATCGAGATGACCTGGTGAAGTTCAAGAATTTGAGAGTTGGTTCACAATTCACCATTTGAGCTCTTCGTTGGTTCATTCTTGACTTCTTCCAGAGTGGAGTTGGTTCACTTTGAAAAGTGTAGCTTTACAAAGTCGAGCAAGGTCCTTGGTTTATCTTTCGGAGTCTTTCGGTTCGGCGCAGATCTCTCAGGAACAGTCTGCACTGGTCCGGCTGCTCGTAGAGGCTGGCGAGTTGGATCCAAGGCATCTTGCCTTGGTTTCACGCCTTCTAAAACTCGCAAGATTATGCCCTGGGGGTCAGTGTGACCACTAATTAATTACTTTGATATTTAAGTGTTGGTCCACTTTCTCAATGAAACAAGCCTTACTAAAAATATACTAAAATAAAAGCAAGTTGCGGGCATGGTGAGAAGGCAGAAGCGGAATCACCCAAGATCTCAGGCCCAGGGGGCGCCTGCAACATCGAGCTCTTTCTGACAAACTGTGCATTTTGCCCCTTCGATGCCTTCAAACCAATCGCTTGCGAGAGGTGGCATGAGCAAGAAGTACTTTTAGAGTGTTAAGATCGTAGTGGAAAACTGACTCCGAGAGCGCTGTGTACTTCAATTCAATAACGCAATTGGCAGTCGTTCAGATTTGAGAAGCTTCCCCAGACATGGAACTTGTTGACAGCAGAGAACAGGTGCAGCTTGAAGGTGACGAGCAGACCTTCATTTTCCACCCGCTGTTTGCATCCGAGAACTTTGCTGAAGACAAGGTACGTGCATTTTGTCTGCGAGCCACATTGAATTCCCGTACAAGATGAGATGTTGTTTTGGTAGACTCTTGTCGCTCTCCTTGAAGCCATGCTCTCGATCAAGACCAACTCGCACTGTATAATCCTAAATGAACCTCAACAAAATCCTTTAAAACAAGCAATCAAACCCGAGGAAACGGCAAGTAAACCCTAAAGAGGCTACGTTTTTTGGGACATGTTTCTACCTGCTTTTATTGTGGAGCTATTAGGGAGGGTTCCGTTCAATGGCAGAGCACAGTTTTGAGTTGCATCAGATCTAAACCATCAATGGTCCTTGATGTGTACAGGCGGAGGCATTGCTGCGCATTGATGCTGCAAAAAGAAAAGATACTGCTGGAGTTGCTTTTGAGTTCATTTTTTAGCTGTGGGTCAACTTACAGTACTGAGAAGTGGTAGTGTGATTGGGATCGCCCAGGCATTTTCTTATGCACATGTTGCTAAGGCTAAGGCCACATGAGCCAACACGAAACCTTGTTTTTGCCCAGAGATATCAGGGATGCACATTGCCAATGTGTATGCAAAGTCCTATTGTTGATAAGGTATTTCGGAATCCTAACCACATACTCATACCGGTGCCTAACATGGACTTGTAAAACAATATGTGGGATCTGTGGGTTATAATATAAGTATAGTTACAGTTATAGTTACTACTACTGCTACTGCGACTACGAGAGTAAGACTCGGGTTAAGTCAATGCTTCTCAAATATACTCTGTAAAGCACAATCACGTTACATGTTTGCCAATGAAGCCGCAGCCACTTCCAAATGTCATTGCAGCTGCTTGTTCTGGCTACCTTTTGTAGCTGGGCATCAGGCCATGGGTGTTTGACTTTTGGGATTTTGTGTGTGGGAAAATGCACGCCTGCTTTGTAGTTGGTTAACCTGTCCGCCCAACAAACATTAGTTTAGCTTGAAGTTCTGAAACAACTTGTCCGGGCGGTATATATAGTTTGGATCCGTGCATGGTTCACTGAACATGTACCCGGAAAGTCATGTATCCGGAAAGTGGATGTATCCCGAAAGTTGGGTTTGACCTGTCCTCGTAACTTCAATTGCAGCATTGAAACAATATGTACATATTAATTATTATAGTATATGTATAGAGAAACATATTGTTATTGAAAGGTGGTGGAATTCCTGAAGTAAACCCTAACAGTCTATGAGAGCTTTGAATATGCTTTGATTCCTTTGGATGTTCCGTTTAAGTTTGGATCATCTAGGGTCCCATCCATGGTAACGGTGCCATTCAAAAGGCCACAGGTCCGGTTTGGCCTTACCTGAATAGATCCTACCAGCTGCTCCAGACATTTGAATGCTTTAGTTTGAATGTTTGAAGTTGAAGGGGTAACAGATCGAAATAGTATCAGCATCGGATTCAATGCGGTTTAGGTTTAGGGAGTGGCATCCGCAGTTCAACTCAGCTCCATGATCCAAGAGAAAACGTTTGGTTGTCTTTTTTGCTTTTTGTCTTTTTCGGACACATTAGGACATTTAGCCTCGATCGTATTCATGGTCATTGCCCACAAAGAAACTCTCGCAAGGTTTCCGCCAGATGGTCCGGCGCATGGGCAATCTTTGCACCAGGCCATGACCATTGACAAATGTCAGGGTTGCACATATGTTTTCAGCGTTCACGCCAACAGTATACACTTATATACTCTCTCCCTCTCTCTCTCTCTATATATATATAAGTTTATCTATATAAGACCTCCAGGAGCGCCACTCCCACAGGGTGAAGGTCTCACCTGCGCAGGGTCTCTGGTGCTAGCCGCGCCTTGCTGCGATGCAATCTTTACACTGCTTGGAAGGCAAGGGACCAAGGGACCGAACAAGGGAACGAGCCCCAGAAAGGCAGAACCTCGGTGGGCCAGAAGGCCACAGAGGAATCCAGCAAGCTGTTTGAACCACAGAGTCAAGCGCAGTTGGCTTTTAGACCATAGATTCTCATTCTTGCTCCATTGACGTGACTGTCATGCAATACTGATTTGCACGCACAGTACTTCCATACTACTTCGCAAGCCTCTGGTTGGCTTGTAGAACATGTGATTGGTTCGATCATGCAATGAGCCTCAGCGTTCCATTGGCCCATTGGAAACACCTTCGTAGAACAGTCTTGTTGCATTTATTTTCTTTGGTTGTGGTGGTGTTTGTTGATTGTTTTGTTTCGATTGCTACGCCGCTGGACGCTTGCACTTTGTGGCTTCACTGACTTCGCTAGCAAATTGACAGTTGGTGCCCCTTCAAATTAATGAAGAGACAAACACATCATGGAAGGGCAGTGTATAGTCAGCTCAAGCACAGGGTGCCCTCATGTGTTGTCAAACAAACATAATAAAGGGGTTCGAGGCGGATGTAGATAGCAAACATATCCTGTGAAAGGAGGCACATAGTCTACAGTAGATCATGTGCCGACTGTTGTACACTGCTCGCAATTCACAAGTACTCAAGAATTTAGTGCTCCTGAGATTGTTTCAGGCCAGTCTCCGTTCGTTGCAGCGCACCTGGCATTCAAGACATATCAAGACATACAGTTAACGTGAGTCAACGTGATTAGCCTAGCCTCACCATGGCTGCGCCCCGTGTGCCCTCTATCTCCTCTGAAGTTTCGGCGGCCATCCAAAGGGCTTTGAGACCAGGCGCCAGTCCCTTTGCCCGTCTTGGGCTTCCAGACGCGCTTTGCGAGACCTCAGTGCTGAGAAGGGCATATCGCACGGCAGCATTGTTGATACACCCTGACAAATGTGCCCATCCTGAAGCCAAAATGGCCTTCCAGAAGCTCTCAGAAGCATTTGATGTCTTAAGTGGGCCCGAAGGACAGCAGCAACAATTAGATGGGCCCAAAGGGGGGCTATCCAGGGCGCCCATATGAACGCGGAGGCCGCTATGACAGGCCTGCACCACCTGGATGTTGGGGAGAGTGTGAGGAAGATGTCGATGGACAGGGGCAAAGAGGCGGGAAGTCTTGGTGGGACGCAGGCTTCTCAGACTTCGAGAAGCGCTTGAGGGCTCGAGAAGCTGACCAGTTGCGTAAGGAGGCCATGGAGTCTGCCTTGCAGCGCGGAGAAGATTCCTTAGATGCCTTCATGTCTGTCTTGGAGGCTGAGCTCGACCCCAAAGCGGAAGAAAGGAACGAAGGAAGAGACCGAAGGGATGAAGCACGGGCCTCAAGGGGCACCAAGCGACCTTCTGCTGCCTCCGGAATACCAAAGCCAGGCACCCGTCAGAATGTGCCATCCTTCTCCATGGGAAGAAAGCCTTTCCGTGGACCTGCCATGCCAGCATCGGTGAGCTCGTCGTGTAGTTTCTTGACACGCACCAAGACATTCTCCAAGAATCTCCAAGATACTAACAGTATAGTTAGATACTGTTGGATACATGATCACAGAGCATCAAAGGCTTTTGCTCTTCCACAGTCAGGTCAGAGCGGTTGTTCGGTTCTCGCTTCACAAGAATCCCACGTGAAGTAGTAAGTCTCGCTTTTTGGCGGGTGCATAAAACGGCATGCCTTCGAACACGTGTCCGTTTTGGCCCAGCAAAAGCGACCAGTTCGTATCAAAAATCCTGCATCACGTGAAGGAGCCGAGTTACCCACCACTGCAACGAAGGGCAGTAAGCGTACTCCAACGTGGCTGCAAGAAACACGTTCAAGTAACAGGTAGCATCCCCACTTCAAAGGTCTTCAAATGTGTTTGTCGTGATCAACACGATTCAAAACGCACGTGCGCACTGTTTACCCGACCTCCCCAACCTTGAGGCAGTTCGGTTCGTCTCATCTCCATATCCACAATCATCCACAATCACAAACAAGCCTGACAAGTGTTCCCAGGATGAATGAAAGGACACTGTGGTTGTGTCAGATAGTGTCAGCATTCACATGCCGCACATGTCAAGGTTCTGCCTCAACTTCAATGGCAGATGTCTTGCTGAGCCATCTTGACTCCGATGGCTCCGAGCTTTCTGATTGATGAAACTGCAGAGTGAAAATGTTGCGTCTGGAATCAGGCTCGTACGCAGTGGCATCGGCGCAGTTGATGTGTCCGGTGCCATGATGCAAAAGTACAAGAGAAGGGGTGCGGGTCGCGGTGCAGTTTTGAAGGTGCCAAATACATCCAAAAGCATTGTTGTGTGTCCCACATGTTGCACCCACAGAGTTTGTTGTCGCCCGTTTGAAACTCAAACCCTAGGCTCGTTCAACATTTGTTCAGGTGTTACTCCGCGGGCAGGCAGAAGAGGCCAAGACTGTTTTGGTATGCGAACCAGTGGTTTCAGTCAGACGTGATCCCTGACAAGCAATTGTTTTGTGAAGGTTGAGGCTGTGGAGAAGGGCCCTTTGCTTTTGCTGGAGCGTGCGGCAAGGCTACGGGACAAGGCTGTTGCTTTTGTTTTTTCCCGTGGGGGACGGAGTTTAGACACACTTACTGTAGCAAAAAGGATGTTTTGTTGTCTTCTTCATGGGCCCGTTGTTTGGCACGATCTCCGCAGCGCCTGTTTGCAAATACAGTTGCACCATGTTGCACCAATATATATATATATGCGATGTACTTGTAGAATTTGTAGAGCATGCCATGTGCACCTGACCTGGACCTCATTTTTTGCGTCAGGTTAGGAGTTGATTGGTTTGACCTGCCTATAGTGTATACTGGGCAAATTTGGGCAAGTTCCAAACTGCTTTAGATTCTAGTAGACAATCATGATCACTGAGAAAGCACAGCCATAGCACCCTTGAGTTGAGTTCCAAGTGTCAGGTCTGCAAACCAAAGCCGGCTTTGCAGGACAGCCAAGACTGGAAGCCAGCTGCGACAGTGTTGCAGCTGTGGCTACTGTAAAACCTTTTGACCTCACCTGTATCTGTTTTTTTTCGACCCTGGCAGGTAGGTTCTTGCATTTCTTTGTCAGGAGCACTGGGATGAAGCGGGTGTGGAATCGATCGACCTGGTGATCAGAGGCCAATTGGTCAAGCCGAAAGACTGGGCTGGTGGACGCCATATTATTCAACGATTTCTATGTATGTGTGTATACAGTATACAGACTATACACACATTATATGTTTAATCGAATAACTGTCCCAATGAGTTGTTCCTAAAGATCCTAAAGATCCTGTCAGTCACTGCCAGATCTGTCAGTTCTTTGAAGGTCTCATGGTACGCTAACATTCCGCCAGGCATCAGTGGAGAGATTCTGCTTGAGGAGACAAGTCAACCTGGTTTTCTTGATGTGTGAAAACTTATGTATTTAGATGTATTTAGCACAATTTAGCACGATAGATTGGATGGGATGCATTTGTGCAAACGTTAAAAGGCAGCTGCTGACATGTTAAGTCGTTGCCAGCAATGCAAAGGATGTTGAAAGGAGTGGGATTTGAGTGAGCAATGGCAGGAGTCCGGGGCAAGGTCCCGAACTCCCATCAAGCAGCTGGTGCAGAAGATCCGTAGCTTGGCTGTGCTATTGCAGGGTTTCCAGGGCCTTTGTGCTCAGAACAGCAATTCACTTCCTTGGGACTGTCAAAAAATCGAATGACTTTGTTGAAAGGGTTTTGCTGGTATATATATATGATTATATGTGATTTGGTATCAGTTATATACGCAGGTTTAACAAGATGGTAGCAATTTGCTGAACATGGATTCAGACATATTCTCACGGAAAACTGTGGGTTGTTTTGCTGCATCTCTTCTTAAATCTTGCATTTCATGCCAGCAGTAGTGGAAGGGGGTCTTCTCCCATAAACATCCTCATTGCCGGAAATGCTGCGTGTGATCATGGCCTATGTACTTCATTTTCAGAATAGCTTGAATAGACTAGTGTGCCCTTTACGACGACTTTTTCTATTCATGCCAAAGCCGCGCCCTGCAATTCTATGGCCACAGTTACTATTACTGAATCTGAGGGTAGGAGGTTTAGAGCATCATGTTTGGAAGCATAGGCCTAGGCTTTGGATGACGCCAGGGTCACCATGTTCATCCATGATCGATTATTATTTTCTGGGCCAAGGTGCAATGATGGATGACCTGGAAGTAGAGCTTGTGCAGCTCTGCCTGGGAACAACTGTGCTGAATCACAGTGCCGTGCTGGGTAGCATGGCTGAGACAGAGGTTCTGCAGCTAAACAGGGATTTCACTGGACATCCACAGCCTTTGATGTAGTTGTTTCGTTCCCTGTTCACAAGTTGGCCTTTTGTGTCTTGCCAGTACCAAACAATCAAGAGGGAAGAATCTGCAGTTAATCAGATGGTATGATGATCAAAGTTGGAATTGGAGATATCATATATTGGACAACAAGACTCTTAAGCTCTTAAGGTTCTGGAATGTCGTCCATCGATTCTATGCCAATCAATTGCATGTTTTACTGAGCAAAGATTGTACGATGAGGTATGCATCACACTCCTTTGAGCTGCAGTGCGTGTGATGTTGGAGTCAACAGAATCAAATTGTAAGGGCTCCGCCCGGGTGCCGCCGACCCCTTTTCATCTCGAGGGTTTGGCGGTTGAACCTTGACAACTTCCTGGGATTCAACAGCGAGACTTGGATGGGCTTCACACCAATGCTGGCATTCAACCAGCTGCCGAGAAGAGGGCAAGGCTGCGGTGAGGCTCTGGGGAGCGTTTGAAGCCGAGCCAAAATGCCTAACGTTGCCTTCGGAAGCCCATAAGAAGAGAGGAGGCAGGCTTCGGACAGGCCACAGAGAGGCCGCAAGAGGCCTGCCGGCTGCCGAGAGGCTTTTGAAGCCGGTCCAAAATGCCTAACGTTGCCTTCGGAAGCCCATAAGAAGAGAGGAGGCAGGCTTCGGACAGGCCACAGAGAGGCCGCAAGAGGCCTGCCGGCTGCCGAGAAGCTTCGGACAGGCCACAGAGAGGCCGCAAGAGGCCGAAAAGCTTTTGAAGGCGGTCCAAAATGCCTAAACGTCGCCTTCGGAAGCCTGCCGAGAAGAGGGCAAGGCTGCGGTGAGGCTCTGGGGAGCGTTTGAAGCCGAGGCAAAATGCCTAACGTTGCCTTCGGAAGCCCATAAGAAGAGAAGAGGCAGGCCTGCCAGCTGCCGAGAAGAGGGCAAGGCTGCGGTGAGGCTCTGGGGAGCGTTTGAAGACGAGCCAAAATGCCTAACGTTGCCTTCGGAAGCCCATAAGAAGAGAGGAGGCAGGCTTCGGACAGGCCACAGAGAGGCCGCAAGAGGCCTGCCGGCTGCCGAGAGGCTTTTGAAGCCGGTCCAAAATGCCTAACGTTGCCTTCGGAAGCCCATAAGAAGAGATGAGGCAGGCTTCGGACAGGCCACAGAGAGGCCGCAAGAGGCCTGCTGGCTGCCGAGAGGCGCTTGAAGCCGGTCCAAAATGCCTAACGTTGCCTTCGGAAGCCCATAAGAAGAGAGGAGGCTTCGGACAGGCCACAGAGAGGCCGCAAGAGGCCTCCCGGCTGCCGAGAGGCTTTTGAAGCCGGTCCAAAATGCCTCACGTTGCCTTCGGAAGCCCATAAGAAGAGAGGAGGCAGGCTTCGGACAGGCCACAGAGAGGCCGCAAGAGGCCTGCCGGCTGCCGAGAAGCTTCGGACAGGCCACAGAGAGGCCGCAAGAGGCCGAAAAGCTTTTGAAGGCGGTCCAAAATGCCTAAACGTCGCTTTGGGAAGCCGATAAGAAGAGAGGAGGCAGGCTTCGGACAGGCCACAGAGAGGCCGCAACAGGCCGGCCAGCTGGTGAGGCCTCGGACAGGCCTTTGCTTTGGAAGTGCTTGGAAGGGTTCTGCTAGGCTTGGCCAACTGCTGCATCCTGCGGTTTTGGAAGTGCTTGAAGGGTTCTGCTAGGCTTGGCCAACTGCTTCGCCCTGCGGTGTCCCAGGCGCCTCCCCGCCTAGGCTTTGGCTATAGGCCGGGGTCGGCGGATATTGTTCTCGTGGTGGTGTTTGTCCAATTCTGTGGCTCATAAAATGCGAGCTCTCAGACGATGGGTACTTTCTATGTAGATGTGTTATGATGTGCTATTTTATATATACATACAGATACATATGCACCCATCTTTTGTATAATGTTTGTGGTTTGTGGCATCATTGTTTGAAACTCACAGATATTACACCCGATGCCTTTCCTCAAGCCATTTTTGGTTAGAACAACATGACAATATGTTTTTGCAAGTTACCATAGTGAAATAAGGGAATTAGGTTGACAATGTTTCGGACTTAGGTGACTATGTTGCTCCATCGTATGGCCAAAGAGAAATGGTATGAGACCAAGAACAGCTTCCAATGGAAACAACGAAGGGAACTTGTTGAACTTCTGACAAGCCAATGCTCATTGACATGCAACTCATTGCCACATTTTCTTGATTTATTTTTAGTGATTGGCGGTTTTGCTGTTGCATGGGTTCCATTTGATCAGCATGCAGAGCAACAAGTTTCTTGCCCAATTAGATGCCACCTTGACTTTGCATCATTTATATACAGTGAGCTGCCGGAAGATAGAATACGTTTGTTTTTCCCGAATGCGTAGCGAAGGGTTCCCGTTTATAGTTGGGGGTCTGGGGGTTGGAGCTGTGTTCGCGTGGCTTGCGTCGTGTCGTCGTCTCTCGTCGTCTCTCGTCGTCGTCGCGTCTCAAATTTGCTGCCATTGGGGGAAGCTTTTGCAAGTGACTTTGCATGGATGTGTCACGTGTTTGTTTGCGCCGCTATTCCATTGTGATTTGCATGACAATGACATGTCGCGCAAGAAACGTGATGCATTTCGCTGCACAGGCGCAGCGTTTTGTGAGATCCGCAGATTGCTGCGCAGTTCCATTGGGATTAGCGTTTTGGAGAGTCGTGTTTTTGGGGTGTTGGATGTGGCCGTGCCATTGGGATTTGCGTTTCAGGGTGTGGCATCGAAGCTCGGTTTTCGTGACAAGTCTCAGCTGAAATGGCGGTTTTGGGGGATGGGAGTGTGCTCAGAACGGGTCGAAATCATTCCAAACGTGTGGTGTGGTGCAAATTTTGTTGAAGCTCACATGAGATGATATTGTCACTTTTCGTGGCAGGCGCAAGACTTTGTGCGGGTTTTGAAGCGTAGAAGTGCGATTCTCGTGGCAGGCGCAGGGAATCGTGAGGTTGCGAGGTGTGACGGAGGTGACATTTCGTGGCAGGCGCAGTACTTTGTGCGCGTTAGACGTGTGGACGCGGAAAGATTCGTGGCAGGCGCAGGGAATCGTGAGGTTGTGGTAGAGGTGAATGTCGCTGTCACATTGGGATGGCGTGTGAGCGGATGTTGTTTGGAGGGGCTGGAATCGCGAAACTGCTGCGTGATGTGGGTGCTCCGATGGGTGTTTCCGCTTGACTTTTGGAGGAAGTCTCGTACGACACGCTCGTTTTGCAGACTTTGACGTGTGAGTTTTGAGGAAGTCTCGTGCGAAACGCTCGTTTTGGAGACTTGACGCGCAACCCTCTGCGGAGATCGTGCGTGTCGAGTGTGCGAAATGCAGGCGAGAGTGCGATTTGTCCCATGCGCGCGCAACCCTCTGCGGAGATCGTGCGTGTCGAGTGCGCGAAATGCAGGCGAGAGTGCGATTGTCCCATGCGCGCGCAACCCTCTGTGCGGAGATCGTGCGTGTCGAGTGTGCGAAATGCAGGCGAGCGTGCAATTTGTCCGGTGCCCGCGCCACCCTGTGCGGAGATCGTGCGTGTCGAGTGCGCGAAGTGCAGGCGAGAGTGCGATTTGTCCGGCGCCCGCGCAACCCTCTGCGGAGATCGTGCGTGTCGAGCGCGCGAAATGCAGGCGAGCACTGGCGACGTTGTGGTACAACTTTAGTACGCGGAGTATCTGGGGAGCTGGAAGAGTGTCCCACAAGAGTGTGTGCACCAAGAGTGTCCCACAAGAGTGTCCCGCAACAGTGTTCCATTAGAGTGTCTCACAAGAGTGTCCCTTAAGAGTTTCCTACAGGAGTATCCCACACGAGTGTCCTACAAGAGTGTCCCACAAGAGTGTCCCCCAAGAGTGTCCCACAAGAGTGTCCCACAAGAGTGTCCCACAGAGTGGCCCACAAGAGTGTCCTACAAGAGTGTCCCACAAGAGTTTCCTACAAGAGTGACCCACAAGTGTGTCCCACAAGAGTGTCCCACAAGAGTGTCCCACAAGAGTGTCCCACAAGAGTTTCCTACAAGAGTGTCCCACAAGAGTTTCCTACAAGAGTGTCCCACAAGAGTGTCCTACAAGAGTGTCCCACAAGAGTGTTCCACAAGAGTGTCCTATAAGAGTGTCCCACAAGAGTGTCCTACAAGAGTGTCCCACAAGAGTTTCCTACAAGAGTGTCCTACAAGAGTGTCCCCACAAGAGTGTCCCACAAGAGTGTCCTACAAGAGTGTCCCACAAGAGTGTCCTACAAGAGTGTCCCACAAGAGTGTCCCACAAGAGTGTCCTATAAGAGTGTCCCACAAGAGTGTCCCACAAGAGTGTCCCACACGAGTTTCTTAAAAAGAGTGACCCACAAGAGTGTCCTACAAGAGTGTCCTATAAGAGTGTCCCACAAGAGTGTCCTACAAGAGTGTCATTTGGACATATGTAGTTTTTCGAACGTGTTTACATTCGGGTTCGTGGGTTCCATCTTGTTCTTTTTAAATAAATGCACTTAGAATATTGTTTTGAACCCTTGGATTTAAATGATTTGGCTTTGCAGATAGAATATGGAGAATCCCACGTGTCATATATTTATAGAATAGATGAAGCGTCAACAGCTGAAGAGAAGAACCACAAGCGGACTCTGAAGCCATCTGAAGCATTCACACCTAGCCATTCTGCAAGGCAGGAGCACTTCAACAACTGCAGGTAGAATATGTATATTCTAACTGCATGGTGGTCAACCCTGGTTCCTTTTTTGCCGGAATCTGGAGGATACATTTAAATACCGAAAACTATTTAAGTCATATTCTAACTGTTGGCAGGTCATAGTAGTTCTTTCTTGGTCATCAATTTCAGGATTGAAATAGAAATTGTTTTGAATCTGTTTGATGGATTGTTTCTCCGTGCCGCAACAGGAGCTCACATTTCTCAAGCTTCATGGTCCAGCAGTCACTGTTGAGGCCAGGTTGCTACTCTTTGATGCCCGGAAGGTGAAAGGGTTTGCCTTCAACTTGACATCTTCAACGCGGCATGGCTCGATGTTTTCCATCATTTGGTTGGGTTTCATTGCTTGCCTAGCACCAGTCAGTGTTTTAAGGCACATCATCAACATCCAATATTGCTTAAGGCCAAGAGCGGCCGTGAGATCAAGCTCCTGGATTCAGTGCCAAAGCCGGGGGAACGCTGCCACTTTGCACCTTAGCTTCGGAAACCACAGCCACGGTTATGTACAAAGATATCAAATCATGTATGCATGGTGTGCATACCTTGGATGCTCTTTTTTGTTTGATTGTAGATTTGCCTGATTGAATCGTGCGTTGCATGTAGGGATAAGGCATTTACGTTGTTTGACATATCGAGTTGTAGTGCCCTCGTGTTTGAATTCCTACTGACAAGACAATACAAAAGGTTTTGGAGGCCCATTGATTTTGTCAAATTATATAAATGTGCTGATTGCCAACCAAACTGAAAGATTGATAGAATCACAAGCATCATAATGATGCACATATTATTGTTATTTACTCTGGTTGATCCATACTGCTTCGATATGCTTGATGTAATATGTGTTCTCATGGAGCTATGGACAGACAATTCTGCACCTTATGGAAAATATGCCTGCCTGGTTTGGTTTTGATCTAGTCTACAAATACATATACCGGCGCTACTTCAACAGATTTGTGCAAACAGCCATGCTTGCAAGTGTTTTCTCAAACGTGATAACCATCATCACACTCTGAAGGATCGGAGCTACAAGTTCCTATCCTTGGGTGGTTTTGAACAGAAGACCTCAATGCGATACGTCATGACCAGCAACGATGACAAGGCCTTGGCCCTAGAAAGGGTGTTGCCAAGAATGTCATTTGTGTGGGTGTTGCGATGTTGATTCTCAATCAGACGGTGACTGGTGCCTATTGATGTGAGCCTTTGGGCAAGTGCATGCTTTTGCTCCTCAGCCAACTGATGTGACTTGAGAATCATCATGCATCATCATTCCTTTGACTAAAAGGGATGCTTAAGGCCTATGGAACCTTATGCAAGAAATCTTCTTTACGGTGTTAGATGATGGTCAAAGTATCTTAATGCAGGTAATTCCTCCCTCTCCAATGGGTCAGGCTACATCCGCTGAGCAAGTTATGTGGCGCCTCAATGTGCGGATGCCAGTGCCTTTGCTGGAAGGGGTGGAAAGGGAAGGCCGAGACGAGACTCAAAGGATGGAACCTGGAGGAGCATTGAGACACATCGAGAATGAGTTGAGGCTGTCGGTACTCGTATTTGGGGGGCCTTCGTCCAATAGGTCGTCGTACTACTATGACTATCGCTTGTAGTTCTACTCCTTGGTCAGAAAACTGGAGGGATGAAAGGCAGGTATCCTTGCCCCGGCTGGATCCGGCCGCCAGGTGGTTGTATATTTGAACTTTCGCAGCTCTTTCCATGTGCGCTACGCTCAAAGTTGGCTAGATGAAGGCAGGCTACCCGATGAGAATTTGGTACATATATAATATAATATAGTATACCTAGGGGTTCAATGCTCTTGCTTAAGCCTCCTCATGTCCTACTCCCGCGATGGAAAAGGCTATCACAGTAATTATACTTTATAGTATTGTACTTGCAGTAAGTTGTCACAATCCACCTACTTGGTGACTCGGTGAGTGACTTTGCAGGCCGCTGGGAGCGGTCGATCTTGGAAAGCACTGTAAGCTCTGGCATCCCCAATGGACCATATACTGGTCCTGTCTTTTACAAGGCGTGGAGGGCAACGCATACGCCGGTCTTGTTTCTTCAGTGTGCTGCTAAGGAGGGTCTTTGGTGATTTGCACGCTTCAGTCAAAGGCAGTCAGTAGCATGTTGGCAGCACCTGGCTCTAGTGGCTGAAGCAAACGTCTTAGCAACAAATCGTTTGTACAGTACATGTTTTCTTTTCTTGGCAGCCGTTCAGTTGCCTATTTGGTCAGCTTCAAAGATCCCTTGCCACAATCCAAACAGCCCAACCTTCAAGCCTTCTCAGCGTGCCAAAGCTTCAATTTGCCACACCTCTATATATAAGCAGCTTTTTGCCCAAGTACCAGTAGGATGTCGCATCAGATCTAGGATGTGATGTATGAGTCTGGAAGTTTTTTTGGCTACATATATTGTTAATCTAGCACTGTAGACTGTCCGTGGAAACCCTGTCCACCGAAACCGAAAGGTGACCACACCTCTTTCACGCTGATCACTAAGTCCACCCTCCCGCCCTTTCAGCGGTCCGAACCACGGCACGTGAGCGAGACAACTCGAGGTTGGTTCCGGAAACTTGTGAGTTTCACACACCTCTTATTTTCTTCTTTTGTCCTACCTCACTCATCCTCACTCCCTTTTTTGGGATAGAAGACTGTCTCGCCCACCCACGGAAAAGGTGTCCGTTTATGTGCTAGAGTCCCAACCCAATAACTCCGTTCACCTGCACATCCCCGTTGATGGGTGTCTCTATAAACCTCCAAACCCCTGAGATCAATAGGGCAATCAACAACCCCCACAGGTGTGAAAAGTTGATACCTAGGGACTACATGCACGCGGATCACTTCTCCGTTCTTGCCTCTTCTCCAAAAATCCGATGCATGGCCTTCTGTTCCGGACTGTCCTACCAACATGGCTTCTTCTTCTTTAGAGTGTTCATTTTCTGAACGGTGCTGTTTCACCCATTTCAGTCGTTCACGAGCGGTGAGTCTTGCTTTTAGAGCATGACACTCATCTTGTAAGGCATATCGACCGGTCCTCAAACACTCACGTAGAACACTACTGTCCATGGTCTTGGTCAAACAGTCGGCTAACATCGCTTGAGAACTCACCCATCTGACGACTGCATTATCGCGAAGTCTTTCGCGAATCAAGAGACATTCTATTGTCGTCCTGTGTTCCGAGCATTGTGGCAAGGCGGTCCTTGTCAACAAATCATAGGCCGATTTGCAGTCTGTGACTAGTGCACCACTGTTCTCCTCCAACAACAGCTTCTGTGGGTTCTTCCAGTCACAGTTTGGTCTCAACAAAGTCGCCCAAAGGACACGGATCCACAGAAGACGATCAGCCGAATTGCTAAGTGCTGCAGCCTCTGCTCCCAAGGTGCTCCTGACAACTCGGGGAATCTTCTTACTATACCAAGCTACCGGGGCTACAACCGCCTTCTGATTATCAAGGAGCTCGGGTGTCGTAGTAAAGATGATTGTCCCCTGGTGTGCTGTCGTGTGTTTGGTACAGGAGAAAGAGGCATCTGAGAAAGCACAGTAGGTCACCTTGTCCGGGTGGATAGGTAGAACCATCAATGACACTCTGTTCTGCTTGGCCTCTGCTAGAATCTTGTTTCCAAGGATCAGATTCTTGACTCGGGCTTGAGTGACATCGCTCTGTAACTCTCCCACTTTCGCAGCTAAGTCTGGCCGACTGTGAACTGCTGCATACTGTAAAGCACCGATGAGGCTTCTGAAGGCAGTTCTTTCGGTTTCCGTCACAAGGGATTCCGGGTCATCTCTTCTTCCCTTTCCACGAGGTATTGGACTAATCTTCTCAACATAAGCTATCTGGTCATACTCTATTGACCCGAATTCCAGTGTATGTGAACTCCCCTTCTTCGAATGCCCCAAATTTAAATCGGGCTTCAACTCGGCGCAACATCTCCATGAACTTCTGACTGCCACCACCTATCCCATCATCAACATGAATTCCAAGACACCCCTCAAACTTTCCATCAACATGGTAGGTGAAAACACAGGGATCAAGAGGTGATTGTTGGCAGCCTTGTTTCAACAGTTCGTCCCGGAACTCACAAAACCAAAGAAAAGGGGCATCTATCCTACCGTATGCTCCCCCATCTAGTTGAACCTGGTCAGTTTCCGCCATACCTAAAGCTTCACGCATTTCCGGAACGGGTACAAGGCCTAGGGGACGTCCATCCCCTCGTCCATGAAGAAAAGCGGTCGAGATATCGAAGGAAATCAGTGGCCATTGGTGGCTAGCAACTCCCTGAAGGACTACCATCCTACCGTCTTTGGAGAGGGTGGGTGCGTCATTGACGACCTTGTCTAACTCAGGGTCTTCCCAACCGATCACTATGAGACGAGCTTTGGCCTTCTTCCCTTCAATCGATAAATCCTCTGGAGCTTCATCCCCTGTGGGAGATTTCCAGACATACAGCCATCTGCATCGCATGATCGCGTGATCGGGAATCTTTCCCTGAGCAACCTTCCGTATGGTCTTAGTCTTATGCTTGAGCCATGCCGTCAACTCTTTATGCTTGGCCACTGCAAACCGCTTTTGATCCTCCTGTGACAGTTCCTTAAGTCTTACTTCAGTTCGCTTCTTTCTGTCGTTGACTGCGGCCAAGACCAGAGCATCTGGCGTTCCAAAAAGCTCATCAGCAAAACTGGATGGTGTCACATCAATCTCCCAAAAATAATCTTGGCAGTAGTCAGTTTGGAAACACACAGTATCACCAAAGAAACCATCTTCAGAGTCAGGAACCGGTATGTTCACCCCATCAATAGTAACACTGTCAGCTTCATCCATTGAACCCCTTCTTGTAGGAGCGGAAGCCTCCTCCTCAGGTTCAGGAACCAGAGGTTCTTCATTCTGTTCAGGCTCTGCGGGAGGCTCTGGGTGATCTACATCTGGTTCACTCGGTTCTGGAAGGTCATCAGGATCCAAGTAAAAAAAATCTTGGTTTCCAACCTTTCGAATCCAGTCTCTAGTGGGCATCTTAAACTCTTCTCCTTGACAGCCTTCCATTCTCGCATCGACGCCGCACGCAGTTGTTGTGGGCTTGCACGGATCAAGCGGTGAGCATGAACAAGCCAGATCACTCGTTTGTTTTCAACTAACGCGACGCGAGCGGGCCCGAACCACTGTCCCCGTTCTCTCCTCATGTTTCCCCCTTTCCGTTTCCAGTATAGCACTAGGTCTCCTACCTCAAAGTTCTCATGAACCGGTCTACTCCGTCTCAACATAACTCTCCGTAGACTGTTTGAATTGTCCATGGAAATGAATGCTTTTCTGGCAGCTTCACGGAGGTCCAGGGCCTGTTTAAAAGGACAGGTGGGATCCTCTAATGCCTTCATGTGACCAAGGGCGTCCTCATCTGACATGTTTGAACCAGGAAGCCTTGGTGAGATACCTAGTACGGCTTGCTCCGGGGAGTAACCGGATTTTCGTGTGAGGGAATTCTTTGCTTGGCAAGCTTGGATCAATGCTTGTCTAAACATTTCCGCATCTTTAATGGGTTTTTTCTGCGTCCATACGGGACAACATGCCTTTCAAGACAGCCCCATGCGATTCGACTCGACCCAGTTGCCAGTGTGAGTCCCGAGCGGAAACCTTCAGTGATATTCCAAGGTCTTGGGTTCTTCCCAACCAGAATTCACTCAAATATCCCTTTGCAGGATCTACATACATCACCTTTGGGGGACCAGCCCAAGCAAACCAATATTCTTCGAGGAACCTCCACTGTGATTGAGAGTCTGAACCACATGGCCTCGCGACCTGAAAAAGGGTACCTTCGTCAATGGCATGTGTGAACTCAAAGGCATCTCCTGTGGCATTTGTCCAAACAACTCCGTCCATGCCTACCGTGTGATTAAAACCAATGTTCTCATGGATCGATCCGGCACGAGGGAGGTCGAAACCGCGGCGAGACTCCGAGCAAGCATCACACTGGAAGTCCCTTACACCTTCAATCAAAGCAGGCTCTGCATTTGTTGATTTCAAATAGCGCACGCGGGTTTCGGGGTCAGGATGTCCCAAACGATGGTGTATTTGTCGTAGGTACTTCTGTTTTTCCCCATCAAGATTGAGAAAACCCGGTCCATGTCTAGCCAAATTTCTTGGGGGGTGACCAACCAATTCTTCTTCTACCGAGTCTAACGGTTTCTCTCTTGGTTCCTTTTCACTCATCTCTTTGTCCACTTCCTCTCTTTCGTTTCCCGGTTTGTGTCGTTTGTCTCCATCATGCTCCTCTGTCTCCTGATGTCTTCTCTTGCCTAATACAGTATATCTTTCTCCAAGTCCACGGATTCTTCTGGCACTACTTCCATGTCCCCAACATGATGTCCAAACAGAGTCAAGGTCAAACGGGAGGGAATACCTTTTCGAATCTTCTGTCTCTGTGTCAAATTTGTCCACTCCTCTTCGTCTCCAACCTGTTGTATCCGACCGGTCGAACGACACATCGAGAACGTCTTCCGAAGTTTCAAATCCTGAAGAGAGGTTCCTGCCTTCGGTATTCGCATACGTTCAGTTCCTCTACATACCTCAGCATGTTTCAGCTGAAAGCTGCAAAAGGTCTGTGCTTTCTTGAACACTTGCGAATCCCCTTCCAGTACTATTGAACCAACTCTGGGTGCCAGTTTCTCCAATTCCCTAAACAATTCCTTCAATCGTTCACCGGAGACCGATTTCCGATGTTCGTCTGTTTCGATCGAATCCGGGTTTTCTGGAGGATGGACATTCTGTTTCGACAACAATCGACGACGTTTGATGGCTTCTCCAATTAAAGCGACATCAGATTCCGGTCCGATCCGGAGTTCATCTTGCAAAAGCGGCGGTTCCTCCGGAAATTTCTGTACAACGCTGATGACTTTCCGAGCAAAGCCTGCAGTGTACTTCGCAGCAAAGGTGGACAAGGGAAGCCACTTCCCCAGATGTTTCACCTGGCCCTCGATCTGTCTGTGGGTATGTCCTTTGCTACAGTACCTGCTGTCCAAAACATCATGCAGACAACGGGAGGTCGTCAGGACTACACTCCGCTTCTGAGGCGGATCTCCTTTCCAGTTCAATCCAAGTTCACACATGTCGAAAACAGTGGTGAGAGTCCCGTACCGAGTCTGTTCAAGTTCCGGCTGTAAAGGAAGTTCCGAACCCACAGGTTGTTCGAGGTGAAAATGACTACCGTGTTGAACCTGATACCAGTACATTTCCTCACAAAGACACAAATTGGGTCTCTCTTGTTTCCTCCCCTCCAGGATTCTTTCTCTCATCTTCAAACTCCGACCCATGTTCCTCCTAGCAAAATTACCCCACAGTTTACAGTCAGGTGAGGCCCAGATGTGTCTGGGTCGGTGTGTGTCGATGATCTTCCAGAGACTTGCTTGTCCCTCTGCCGTGCGGAGATCACCATCCTGGAGTGTGAATCTTTTGGCCTTAAGGCCCAAGTGGTTTGCAACTCTGGTTAATTGGGAGTCTGGGAAACAGTAGACCTCCAGGATGTCCAGTCTCTCTTTCGAATTGGTGGTTCGTGGTGCAAATTGTCGTGTCTGTATGTCAGCTGAGTGGGCTGCTAGTACTGCAAGTTGGTGCTCAATCTTTTCCACCAGATTCAGATTAGCTAACTCCTGGTCAAAGAACTTGTTAATAGGAGTGTCCATACTGGCCAAACCATCTTCCAGGGTACCAGTAGCATCATAACTCAACTTCTCTATCGGTGGTTCTATGCATCCTCGGCTGGCATCAAGAGCGACAGTTCCCTCTGCAGAATTGCGATCTGCGTCTGAATTTGGTGCACTCGCTCTTGTGTCTCCTGCGCCAAGTCGACATTCATCTTCTGGGTGGTCTCGTTGGTCGGCGGTCCATGTTTGGCATTGGTCGACCCACTTGCCAAAGACGTGATCCCGAACTGGACTTCCGAGCTGCCCTTGCCCTTCAACTCGTCGATGATGTCCCAGTCGGTGGCGGTCTCCCCATTCTGGTTCCAGTCTTGGCGCACCTTCTGGATCATCGAGGGCGTCAACACCCGCTGTTGTTCCACTGAGATGGGCCGGTCCATCTGATCCATGGCCCTCACGTAGTTGTGAAAGCTCAGGGCCCAGGCAGACATGCAATCGCTCTTCTTCTTCATGTACTCGGCATAGCTCGCGTCGATGGCCAGGGTCTGTGCAAAGGTCTTGCCAACATGTTTGCCTCCCGCCAGCTTCTGCTCTCCCCACTCCCTGAGGGTAGTCACCCCCGGTGGCTTGACAATCGCCACCTTGCTGTCCATCGGCAGCATTGACAAGGTGGCATCCTCCTGGAGGGGCAAAGGTGCATCCATGCCCACGATCGGAGCATAGGCTGCACTCATCTTCTTGGGCGCCATCTTGAGTAGTGCTGGACGGTGCTTGCTCGCGGATGCTTGATGCTTGGTGTGCTGCTGCCACGGAGGTGTTGTGTTGTTGAAGTCGTCCGTTTAGACACTTAGTTTCAGTTGTTCGTCCGTTCTGTGTTTCATCAACTGAATGTGTGACGACCTCCCAAGATTCCCCATGCACTTTCACATTCTCAGCATGTGTCAAAATCTCCACAAGATCAACAAGAAACACACCCTTCTCACTCATGGCTAAAGGAACACTCACACGTCCATGAAACATGCACAAAACTTGCTTGGAAGTGCAAATATCCGCTGCAACCGCTTTCAAGAAGGCGTTCGACAAAAGGAAAGGAGTGGCTCCGTCGACAACTTCTAACTTTAGCCAACGTTCACCGAACGGAATGAAAACTGCTCCCAAGCTGGCTAACGTTCCGTTATTGCCAAAACGAAAAATCGTGTTTGACTTCTGCCATGCAATCTTCTTTGCAAAAACGTCCGGAAGAGTGGCCATCAGCTGCTCTAGCCTCTTTTTGCCAATCACTGACTTACTTGCTCCTGTGTCCAAGATAGCTGTGCTACCATGATCTACAAAAAACATCGGCTCAAAGCGGGTCTCATGCCTGACACGTTTTCCCATGGACTCTGAAAAACCCTTCTTCAGTGATCGTTTCATGGCATCCAAGGACAGAGCAGCAAAAACGAATTCTTCATTAACATGGGCGTCCCTTTTTGGATCCCAACAAAAATTTGGGGGGGCATTGTTCTTTCCCGGCCTGATCGTCGTGAGATTCATGGGCGGTCATCATCACCAGGTCAGGTTCCATCAGCATTTCCGTCTCTGTGTCGTGAATCGAAATCCCCTGCTGGTTCATGGGCCACCACTCTGGTAGGGCATGTTCAAGGGAAATGGGTAGCTTTTCCACCACCTCAGATTCCTGGTCGCCATAGGTCTCTCCAACGAGGGTGGACACGTGGATCTCCGCAGGAGAGGCATTGGAGTTTCCTGCATTCCCTTTGTTAGGACACTCTTGCCGCCAATGGCCTTTGGCCCCACATAGACGGCAGTTCGAGTTAGCGATCCTACTGCCTCTTTGCGAGGGCCGCCCTTCCAAGAACTTTTCTTGCCACCCTTGTGTTTTCCTTTTCCTTTGACAGGTGGCCAAAAGCCTCTGGCGCGAATCTTGTCCCGAACTCTGCCACGGGCCTCCGTGTAGGCGGAGAAGCACATACTCAAATCAACATTGTCTTGACAAGCTTCAATCAGCTGGTCTTCAAACTCTGAAACCAGAAGGGCGTCTTCGTCGCCCTGCTCCATCAACAACAGGATGCCCGCCTCATCGTCCTGGATGATGCCCTTCATCTTCATCTTCAACATAGTTCACGGCATACACTTTCTTCTTGGCCTCAACGCCAGTGTTCCCCACGAGGATCTTTGGTGCCAATTGCCTCATAGCATCTTCCACCTTTTTGGCCTGCAGTGTCCCACCTGTCATGGCCAGGACCCGTTTCCTGTCCTCTGCATTGAGGAAGCTCTGGCGCAACATGATGAAAGCTTTGATCTCCTGGATGGTGACATCTGGGATCTCGGCAAAGGCGACATTCATGCGGTTGACATAGGAGAACACGCTTTCATCTTGCTTCTGTTGAACCTTGTATAGTGCCCGTTCAAACTTCTCGTATGTCTGAAGTTCTGCCGAGTCCTCCCAAGCAGCAACCGTACTTAGGAGTAACTTCACACCTCCCTCTGGGTCCGAGAGCTTGGCACCATCTATTGACTTGATCTGAGCCCAAGCCGTTCCCTTCATCAGCAAAGCCAACCTCGGTGCCAGCATCGCCTTGTCTTTGACCGGACAGATGGAAAAAAGGAACTTCACCTTGTCGGAGTACTCACGAGGATCATCGACCGAGGGGTCGAAGCTGGGTAGTAAACTCCAAATGTGTCCGGACTTTTCATCTTGGCTGCTTTCACCATCAGGCATGGCTCACTGTCGCGGTCGTGGGTAAAATGTCGTGCAACCCTAATTGTTCAATTGCAACCGTCCTAGGTTAATTAGGAACCGAAGTAAACACCAACCCCAAAAGAAAACCCTGTTTTTTCAACAGATATGCCTCCTGCGGAGGCTCCGCTACCAATGTTAATCTAGCACTGTAGACTGTCCGTGGAAACCCTGTCCACCGAAACCGAAAGGTGACCACACCTCTTTCACGCTGATCACTAAGTCCACCCTCCCGCCCTTTCAGCGGTCCGAACCACGGCACGTGAGCGAGACAACTCGAGGTTGGTTCCAGAAACTTGTGAGTTTCACAATATATATATATATATACTGTATATATGAAGGCCTATAAATGCTTGCATTGTGCAGGGTACCATGGGGGGCTGGTGGTGAAAAGAATTGAATCGGGAATGCAGCATTCTTCCTGTGTCGCCTGTCCACCATGTCGTGACTGGCCTGACAGAAGTGAATGACTGGAATCACATGTATGTACTGAAAGTACCCTTTCATGTGTTTCACTTGATTGAGGCTCGATAGGCATTTTTTGGTGGTCCTACCTGGTCTCACGGCAATATTGTTTATGTTCCTTTAGCATCATCGTGACTTTATCATTTACATTTGGCTGCTCCTTCATCAAGGCGGTGGATAGTGGCATTCTGGATTTATATGGCAGTGAATGTGGCGAAGGGACATACTTCGTATTTGTTGCTGGTGCCTCAGAGTGATTGAACATGATTGCTTCCCTAACGGTCCTGAAAGGAAGCGGTTTGCACTTTCTATGGTGATCGCAAGCACCCAAACCCAGAATCCATTTTTGACGGATTCCCAAATATATAGCGGCATACTGTATTTTTGTTGTTTCCGGTCAGGATAAATTATGTGGTTATATAGTTGACTCGTGATAAGAATTGCTTGCTTCGGTAGAGTGCATTGCTCTTCCGGCTGAAGGGTTTCACTACAACCAGTAGAGTCACACGTGGAGCATGGATTTTAGAAGGTTTTTTTGGTAGCCACAATAATAGTTACCTTTGGAGTTCATTTCATGTTGCTCTCATTTGCTTTCATTCTGCTTTCATTTGCTTTGACTTCCCCACCAGCCAGGTGAGGTTGTTAGATTTTATCAGACCTCTTCTTCTCTCCTCGCCTCGTTTTCTTGACTACCACACCTCAACTGCCAGCTCCAGATCGCCGCAATGGGCTCTACCTCAACTGCACGTGCATGATCGCAATCCTCAACAGCAGATCGCAGTGGGCACTCCCGGACCTCACCAGCAAGTGCCAGATCGCAGTGGGCGCTGCCGGACCTCAACAGCAGCTCGCAGTGGGCACTCCCGGACCTCACAACAGCGAGCACCAGATCGCAGTGGGCACTCCCGGACATCAACAGCGCAGCGGGCACTCCCGGACCTCACAATGGGCACTCCCAACCAGACCTCACAACAGCAAGCGCCAGATCGCAGTGGTCACTGCCAGACCTCAACTGCAAACACCAGATCGCAGTGGGCACACTCCCGGACCTCAACAGCATCACAGTGGGCGCTGCCGGACCTCAACTGCAAGCACCAGGTCGCAGTGGGCACTCCCGAACCTCAACAGCAGATCACAGTGGGCACTCCCGGACCTCACAACAGCAAGTGCCAGATCGCAGTGGGCACTACTGAACCTCAACTGCAAGCGCCAGATCGCAGTGGGCGCTCCCGGACCTCACAACAGCAAGTGCTCAACGGCCACCTCCAGACCCCAGTGGGCACCGCCGGACCTCACAAGATAGAATTTCAGAATGTGCCAGATAGAGTGGCAGAATGTACGCCAGATAGAATGCCATACTACTTGCCAAGTAGTGTGCAAGATAGAATGCCGCAATGATGCCAAATATAAACAACAATAGAATCAAATAGAATGCCAGGTCCATATGTCACAGCACATGTCAGACAGGAAACATGTCAGAACACACGCCAACAAAGATGTCCGAACACAGTCCAGAACGTTTCCCAGCCTTTATGATAGATGATGTGATGTGTCAGAGCACAAACCAGGTTTGATGCCAGAACAAGCGTCAGAACATCGTGTCAATCCGCACAAATCGCCTTTCAGGGTGGGGATCACTCAAGTAAGGTGTAATTTGTTTTCAATTGTTCTATGCTTTAGATCTTTTCTGACCTGCGTTAGGTTTGTTTTGCTGGACTTTTTGGAACTGAGTTTTATACAGATGGATCTTGGCTATTATATAATATGCCTCCAAAGCCCCGATTTTGCGGCGCAATATAAAACAATATTGATCTGGATTTTTTTCGGAAATGTTGATTTGTATAATTAAGAACGACCTGCTAAGTACGAGAACCATGAATCAACAGTTTCTCTGTTTCCATGCCTGTCAGAAGTTGTTCCTATTGAAAAATGTGGAGGACGTGCAACCAAGTAGCTAGCATCCAAAGATCCTAGAGGAGGAGGACTGGCCTGGGGACATGCGAAACCAACAAACCTGTGTCAAAACCACTAAAACGTTCTTCTTCACTAGCCACTCCCTCATTGTTCAGATCTTGGTTGATGCATTACATTGTTTCGTTTTGCTCACAGGTTTACAGAAACCGATACAGTATATTGCGTTCACTTGGTGTCACATGGCACTGTCAGTTAGGGTTGCATTTGTTTGGAATATCTGACTTTTGTGGGATTCTATGGGTTTGAGGTGCCGTTGGCATTGTTTGCGAGGTTGTTTTTTTTGGGCTGCACGCGCGTTCTCGGGCCGCTCAAGCGACAGGACTCGTCCTGATCTCCGTCCCATCTTCCTGTAAGGCAACAAAGTGGCCTTCCAGTAGCATAGATGCCTAACCTGTGCTGTGCTTTTGGCTATCGTGGAGAAGACTTATTGAACATTCCAGATTGAGCTGTTGTTGTGATGGTGATCTGGCACACATCATGTCAGAATACTTGGCCTGTACATAGCTAATGGCCCTGCTCTCCTCAGCATGGACCAGTCGGCCCATTGCGTTTTAGAGACTGTGGGTCATGTTTGATCAGAAAGGCTACTGGATGATCAATTACCGTGCATTGCCGATCGACTTTGGTGTTTTCTACCTGTGTAGTGTCAAAGGAATTGTTTCAAGTCCGTGGAATAGCAGACACAGGATAGCGGATAGCAATGGGATGCCGACTCTGACTCTATCATGCTACCAGTGCCGCCTTACTCAGTTACTCTATGGCTCGAATCAAACACAACAGCGACATGTACAAGAGACGTCATCATGAGAAAGGTCTCCGATCTACTAGACTAGGCTCGCTTGGCTAGTTCCCGGTTGTTGTCATTGCCAACATGTTCTTGAACGTTGGGACTGTCCAACGCATGTGGTCAGTGGTATGGGCATGATTTAAAGATATGCGTCAACCTTTTGCTTGTACAGGTACATGGTACCTTTTTGCCTGCGACTCACTAGTGCGTCACGCCGTTTGCAGTGCAGCCTTGGCACAAGAAACAATACTGTATTTGTAGCTTCGCATGTAGGTATCCACTTTGTGCAAGACCTTGCTCTTTCCGAAGGGCCCAAAGTGGCGCTAGGTCAGAGGCAGGGTGTATACAGGGGCAGAAAATGGCTACAAACAGTTGCTTGCAAATATTGGGTCATTTGTGCAGGTTCAAAGAAGTACTGAGGAGACGATTTAGTACCTCTCAGCCTCTCAGATGTTTGCTCATTCTATAATATCATTCTTGGTAGGTATCCAAAGCATTCCATGAGGTGGAATGTTTTTGCTTGAGTTCTGCCCAGGTGAATGTCTGCAGGTGCGGCCAGCATTGGTCGAAAAGACTGTGGGAAAGGTCACAAGGGGGGGTTGTCAGTGAATTAGGTAGAACGACCATAAGATTTTACTGTACCATTGGACCATTGCCCTTTCCTAATGGGCTATTGAATCATTGGTGGCTGATTTGTTAATTAATGTAGTCTTTTTGAGACAATGGAAAGAAGATGAAGAGGGAACTCCTTGAAAGCTGCGCAGGCTGTTTTCCTGATACTGGTGGGTTTGCCATAGGCTTGCGTAGGCTGTAGGCGGAGGCACATACATAAGGTTTTTTGGCATAGGGTTGTTGCGTAGGTTGTTTTTGGAATGGATGTTCTTGAGAAGATTCTGTCCAAGCATGTTGCGTAGCTAGTAGGTGGGCACCAGAGTAGAACATGAATGAAGCACCAGGCCAGTCTCTAGGCTCATGGACCGCACACTGCAGGTGCTGATCTCTAATCTAGCCATTCTGGTGGATTAGTTACAACCCAAGCTACTGACCAGCTGTTTCGTGAATTTGCTGTGGGTCAAAACCTGGAGCCCCAACACCGTGTAGCTTGACCTTCCAGGTAGGTCAACCGGTCAACCAAGGTAGGCTTTGACCCACAGCCACTTGCAAGAGGCTCTTTTTGGTTCCTGGCCCCACGGAGTCTCAACGTAGGCCTGTGCATAGGAACAAGTTTTCATGTTCCACCAGTAGCCCACTACGCATGCAGGTCGTACCAAGAAAAGACTAAGTTGAACTGCTTGATTGGGTATAGAGTGTAGAGTTGGGCTGGACAATGTTGGTTGTGGTGGAGTTTGCAGCGGCTTGAAGTGGAAAGTGGATGCTTTTGGTAAGCTGCTCCAACGCTTAAGCCCAACCCGCAAGTGCCTTGGTGGTGTGGTTGTCCTCCCAGCTAACAGTGGGCTAGCCTGGCCTGATGTCTTCCATGGCAAAAGAGCTTTGTTGTTTATGTTACGTTTGGTGTTTTGTGGTGTGGGGGGAGCTAGGATTTTGCTTTCAAGCTCGAGCTCATCAGCTCATCATCATTTTTTTCATGGACGACTTCAGCGTAAGATTCAGAGGTAAAAACAAGAAACACGTATAATAACAATATGTATTATTACAATATTGGCAATTTTTATTTGCTCGCGTAGGCATCCCCGAATAGGCCTCACTTGAGAAAAAGTGTGCCAGCCTTTGTATTTTCAACCCAGTCAACCTGCAATGAGCCTTCTGCTGGGAAGGCCTCTCCAAATCAATCTCTCCAAAAGAAAACGTCTTTGCGTTCGCTCTTCTTGACTGCCAGGTGGAGACGCGTGCGCCAGGGAGTGTTTTGTTGCACTGCTACCAATATTGCCCCTCAATCTACTGTAGTTCCCTGGGTTCTGCAATCAATTGCCAGTTGCTACAAACTCACTGATATGCAGACTAGTCGTGATAAATAATTTCATTATTTGGTCAGGGATGGGTTGTGTGGCATCGACCGGATGTCACTAGAAGAAGTGCATTGACATGTCGCAAGGCAGTTCGTGTCGACGCACGCACTCTGGAAACGGCTGGCTCGTAGAACTGGTGTTGAGCGAGGCTCGTGGAGAGTGCAGCGCATGTAGGCCTGCTTCATACAGATACATGAACCATCATTCACCCTGTACAATGACAAGCACCACAAGCGAATTTGGGAAACATGTCATGCGGCCATGTGTGTTTCTTTTAGTTTTGCAAGCGCAGGGTTATCTATAAGATCCTGCAAGACGGTGCATGAACAGGTTTTGTGCCGAGCACAATTCAGGTACTACAATGGTTCTGCTGAAGTTGGTTCCAAGATTTTGTCCGACCGCCAGCTTGGGAACCCAGAGGCTACAGTTCTGCACAAGACCAGCAGCCAGAAAACCTTTAATATAGGGGTTGGAATTTCCTCTACAAAATCGCGGGGGTTGGGACCCCTAGAAAGCGATTGCTTTAGCAATATTTTTTTGGTTAATATGGAGGCTTGTAAGTGCCAACCTGGAAGTTTCTCGATTTGATAGAGAATTGTTGTTTTGTACAAGCTCCATTCTATAGAGGTGTTGAAGTGATGGTGTAATGGATCTTGGTGCCTGAGGCATATTGATTCTATAGAGAATTATTAGCATGGGTTTGCATGTCAGGGATTGCAATTCTATAGAGAAGTGGATGACTTGGGGACGACCTTTGGACTCTATAAAATCACAGACCTACCTGTCCATGACACCCTCTTATTTCTCTATAGATTTGTGGTCCTACCAACTGGGGAATCAATGCCTTCTTGGACAATTGCATTTTAATGTTTTCTTCAGAACCTTGTACCTTGATTCTATAGAGACCCATGTTTTCACTCCTATTGAAAAACACCTGTTCGGGAGTACCTCAGGACCTGCATTTTTTATAGAGCAAGATCCTCAGTATCCACAGTATTCCACAGCTTTTGAAAGACTCATGGCCCTCAATTCTATAGAGCTGACTCCTTGTATTTGGACATTTTTCCCATATCTTTCTCAATTTTATCGGGTCAAAAAGTGATCATTTTTTGAGGGGGGGTTGGTCCCAGCATTTTAGCACTATAAAATCGCTACACCCGGGTACCCACTTAATACCAACCCCTATGATTTAAACAATATATATATATATAGTTATACAGTTTTGTCCACACCTTAAGATGTCTTATATAAATCTCAAGCCGCAGCGCATGAAAGCCCGCGAGAAGGGGGTGCAGTGAAGTCCCTTGACTTGGAAGTGGTGCGTTGTAGCCAGTTGTAGTTTGATTAATTAAGTGGTATTGACACAAAATTGGCTGTGTTGTTGCCAGGCACCAAGCAGTCGCAGAACCAGCACCAGCACCACCACCACCACCTCCGCCACCTCCACCCTTTTGCTTTGATGTCCTTTAGCTCCTTCAATCCCAAATTTATGAGTCAGCCCCGCTAGCCCATGTTGATCCCCTGTGGAGGAAGTTACTTGCAATAACTCATGTAATTTGTTTTACTGTAACTAGCACCATAGCGTTGACACGATTCCGTGGGGTTGGCCACAAGCACTTGAAAACTGCAGATGTTTGTTCTCTTAATGGTAAAACATACTGTTATTCACCACTGAGGTCTTTAGATCCTACTTCAGTCCTGAGACACTCAGTTGATTACTTTTTATGTATTCAGGATTCGATGGAGAACTGGATATAAATAAGGACTCCCTGCCCCCTGTTTTGTTTGCCATCGCTGCTTTTCTAATGTTTCGTTTCTACTTGTTCTTGTCGAATTCCTTGCGTTGGGATATCTGGGACCAGGACCCCCTTGAAATGTTTTGGTAAAGCCAACTCCAGCCCCATCCCTTTGTTGCTTGATAATAGGATGCTGCGTGCTATTTGCCAGAACCGCCACATCCACTTCATCTTCGCTGAACCGAACTTCCGAGTGCAACACACGTTTTGACCGGCCAGCCCACGTGCAGTTTGGTCCTGGCACGACATCGTTTGCCCAGCCCCGCACTTGAGGCTTTTGCGAGAGCAGCTCACGCCAAATGCACGCGGTCTTGCGCAGCCGCCCAGTGCGGCGGTCTTTTCTGGTCGTTGATCCCTTGGTAAGCCCACCGTAGAATTACTGAAGCAACTTACTTTTGATTATTTACCTTAAATACTGTACTTTAGTACTGCTCTTGATTATTTTGATACTATGGCCAGATCATCACTTCTTTCAGAACAGGCAACAGAGTATAGGAATTTGCAAGATCAACATTATGCATATGAACATAGACAGTGCTTATATATAAGCTAAATCGGGGTCACCGGTCTTTTGACTTTCCTGCCTTGAGAGTTTGAGACGCCGGCAAAAGAGAAGCTGAAGCATGCTAGTATGAAAATACATGCTCGAATATTCCGTGGGTGCAAAGGTGCTCAAAGAGTGAATCGGTTCGCCATTTTAGTGTAGTGCAAGTTGCATGCTTCATGTTCCTTTCTTGCTTCGCGCTCATGTCGCAGATTGTGGCAATGGTTGGACTTCCAGCCAGAGGGAAATCCTTCATTTCCAGAAAGGTGCCGATCACCTGACCACAGGTTTCATTGTTCATGAGGGTTCTCGTTCCTTTTGCACAGATGTGGCAGTCGAGAGATACTTAATGATCTCATGTCTCGCCGGAAACAAAGCGAGGCAGCATTTCACAGGATTCCAAATAGACGCTGCGCTGCGAAGTCACCTTGGCGGCCTTTGCAGGTAGAGCGCTTCCTCAAATGGGGTGGTAACCGCACGCAGACCTTCAATGTTGGCAACTTGACATGCAAAAGTCTTCAGCTGCCACAGTTCACTATCCTTGCCCATTTTACTGTGGAATCAATCAGGAAAGTACAGAAGAGATGCTGTTGATCCTGAAAGGCAGGCAGTATCAATGTTTGGCCTTTTATTGACACTCGATCCTATAGTCTATAGTCATAGTGGTTGAATTGTTGAATGCACGAGGAGCAGGTGGCTGGGCTACACAAGCTTTGGCTTTTTGGGCAATGCTGCTATATGCTGCTAATGTATTCAGTACGACCACATTGCCAAAGACATATCTGCCAACTTGCGATGCCCTGGCACCTGGGATAGACTCTACAGCCGAGCCTTCGGCCAGGTCTGGAAAGAGTGATTTCTTCGACAACAGCAACAGTGATTCAGTGGCCCATGGCCTTAGAGGAAGACCGGAACACAGTGTACCTTCCACTCTGGGCTATTTGGGAAGAAAGGGAAACGCACAAACACATCAGTCTATTGAGAGAGACGGCCCAGCCGTCAAAAAGCATTGCTTTGTGATTGCCGATTTGAAAAGCACGGCTGTGTGAGTGGAAGCCGATGGCTGCTTGTTAGGCCCAAAGAATGCAGATGGCCATGGCCGCGCTGGCTCTTGGGCAGCGGTTCTGATTTTGTAGCAACGTGTTGACTACATAGACTTGGGTTCTCAATTACCCTCTACATAGACTTTATATAAGCCCTGAGTGTGCTTTGTTCTTCATGATCCTTGTACCTTGTTCAACGGCGATTCGACAATTTGCACTCAATAAATAATCATCAATCCGTGTCTATAGGCCAAGCGTAAAAAGTGTCTAAGGCAGATGCAATTAAATTCCTCGATGAGGGAGGCAAATTTGCAATTTTTGATGCGACGAACAGTGACCGCTGGGGTGCAGAGACTAATAGTGTGGCAGATGGAATTATTTGCACATGGGTGGTGATACAAAGATCTGCATAATGCAATGTCCAGCGGTTTGTTCCATGGTTCCACGATGCGATGTACAAGCTTAGCAGACACAGGTACAGTGGCCCGACGGCAGATGATCACAGAAAAGGCCTCGGGGTCGTAGCATGTCATACATCGCAATACATCGACGGAAATCACATGTCCCACGTTCTAGTGGACTTGAACAGTTCTTGAAGCAGAAGTGTGATTCTGGCAAATTCAGAGATTAATACAGGAACATGTGATTTCGAAAAATTAGGTCTGGCCTCAAGGATGGTTTGTCAGAGTATTTATATATCCTGTGATGATTCCTTTCTTTGTGGACTTGTTGCTTCTCTCCTTTTTGAGACGTTCTTTGTCCAGGTCACCGCTGGAGGGCAATATAGTATTCTTTGGGTGGAGGCAGTATGTGACGAGCGAGAGGTGTGGCTGCTGCCTCGCCTTATTTTGCCATGCTAGCCGCTTGATATACACACAACAGTGTATTATATATGTATATAATTAGTCATATATTTTGTCAAAGAAACCGATGTCAAGGAAGCCAGGTCAGGTATCCGCACCCTTTGAGTGTTTTGAATCCAGATTAAATTGTTGCATTGCTGCAGCAGAAGCCTGGTAAAGGATGATCAGGACAACCCAGTTTGATGAAGCTTTTTCAAAAAATGTGAGTGTTCTTGGACCATACGCAGCGTTGGCAAAGGAGATCGCATGTTGTGCAGTCTATTGGAAGACCTATGTGAAAGTGCCATCCTTCAGCCAGGTCGTACTGTTCAACATGTTGACAAAGGCTTGTCTTCCCGAAGCATTTCACCTGGGTGTGCACTAGTGTGCACATGAGCATACGTGCAGGTCGACAATGTACGTGCCATTCAGGGAGTGTGATTGTTTGTAAAAAAGATCTGTGGACGGTGAAAGTGCTGGGCGTGTTAGCTTCTTGTTCCTAGTAGGGAACATTCCTCCTAGTAGTACGGCCAGGAGCCCCTAGTAGCGCCCTTGCTCCTAGTAGCGATGCCCTTTGCTCCTAGTAGCTTCTTGTGTGTGTTTTTTTTGCAACAACGCTGTTGTTTCAATTGTGCTTGTGCAGGTTCGCTACAGTCCAGACTTCCAGCACATGACCGAAGAGCAGGCAAGAAGACCGTCGGCTGTCCGTTTATATACCGACCTTCTGTGCATAAACTTCCAGCATCTGTTCCGCCCTTGGTGCTGCAGCAAAGTCATGAGGACATGGGCTGCTTGAAATCTTTGACTCTGACTCTTGATCGAGAATCAGACTCTAGTGACTCTAGTTGCGCTTGTAAATGCGCATTCTGACTCATCAAATCGAAACCATTGTACCTGCCTCAAGGCCATGCAAGACCTCAAGCAGCGCATTGCAAACTACGAAAAGATCTATGAAACAGTGCAGGCAGTTCGAAGTGGCTCACGAGTTGGACTGCGGCACTCCTTGTAGAAGCTACTGGGTACTTGGGTTAAGTCGTCTTGTCTCGCAAAAAGTCGTCCCTTTGCAGCATGCCCTTGCGGGATTGCATGTTTCTGCCACACTTTCTCTCTGCATGTTTCTAGATGTTCTAGTATAGGCATTGCATGCAATTTGGTGTGAGTCCATCCATCTCTCCAAACAGGTGTATAGGCAGAGAGAGAGAGAGAGTAGCGACACACAGCACATCGCAGCACAATCTGACGCCAAAGTAGCACTGGCGATATGCCTCATTCTCTACCTAGTAACACGAAGCTACTAGGGGCTCCCTTAGTGTAGAGAAAGCTGCCGTGGCAGGACTCCGAAGGAGCATTCATCAAGCTGTTTAATTTGTCCAGCAAGGCTCGGGCCTCACAGGGCCTCACAGTGCCTCACATCTCAGAGCTGCTGCCAAACGGCTGTTTATTGCATTGATGTTTCATGATGCTTCAATCTTTACATGTTGCATCATTTTGAGACCAATAAAGAGATCTGTAAAAGAAGAAGGCAAGGGACAGGGACATTCAAATCAAAGAGCGAGGGGGGGGTGGGAGACAACTCACAGCAAAAGGTCCTTGCCCCGTTGTCTAAGACTTCTCAAGCCTGAAATGGAGCACCAGATAGTTGCAACAGTATATAGAAAGAATATGATAGAAAAGCCCAAACAGATACAGAGCTAGAACCAGAAGAAGCCTTTTCGCTATGTTTCAGGGAAGAAACTAAAGAGCAGTATTTTCAGATTGTCAACAAGCGAATTCAGCAGCGACTCGACGTTATCCAAAAGTAGTGATTTCTAGATTTGTTTAGATTCTGTATCAACCAGCTCACTGACAAAAGAAAGCGAACCGCTGCTTATGCACATAGTCCTGCCATTTATTCTGTCCTGATGCGCCACTGCTTTATCACCGTGGCTGCTCTTGCAGCAGCAGGATCCGCACACAGCAAAACAGCTTCGGAGAAATTGTGGGGCCATCGACCGCAAAGTTTCTTTTCTCCCAAGAACTGACAGGACATATTCCATGTTGTGACACTTCCGAAGGAACACGACCATGTGCAAAGCCCTTAGAATTCATTGACTATTGGCATAACACCCGGCTCAGGCTTAGTGGTCTGTTGAAGTGAAATTGAGGTGAACCCAAGTCAGGTCACCACTGGATGTCATGTGGCACAATATAGTTCGCTTGTCGCAGTCAGACATTGAAACTTCAGTACAGATGCGGTAGGAACCTTCGCATCCTGCTTTGCACCATGGGGCATTTTTGCGAGCCACTTGGCTACATTGCCAACATTCTCAAAGCACCTTTTCTCAGCGTGAGTCCGACTCAAGTGGTGCAGATGTTTCTTTGTGGGTTGCAAATTTGCAGGTGTACGGTGTACAGGTTTATTCTTGTTCACCCAGTGTGCTTCTTCTCGAAGCGGTTTGACTCAACAGAACTATATACATCATTGCTTTCGAGCTTCAAATTCCTTCAATGATTTGCTTCAGCACAATTTCCAAGGTGAATCTGTGGTCCCAGCAGTGCTATCATCCTTTCAGAAAATGGAAGCGGCGGATGTTGTAGAGGTGTCTTGGCCAGAGTGCTGTTGGTGTGTGAAAATAGATCTTTGCAGCGTTCTGTGAGAGTCTTTGAGAGGTTTGAAATAAACCATTGTACATATTCTAGCGCTTGAAGTGTACCTGCTACTGAGACTGCTGTTGATCGGAAAGTGTAAAGCCATCGGATCGGCGAGTCATGGAGAGTTGCTGCAAGTGTTTTTTGCACTTCGAGCGCACTGCTTCAGACTGCGTCATTCATCACTTGTCATTTTAAACTTCGAGGTGCAGATGACCCAAGCCACAACCTTGGCCGCTTGGGTGGCAGCAGCAGTTGCTGTACGCGCCCTGCATCAAACGTTGCATCGGGCACCAAAACTGCTTCCACCCTCTGGGCCATCAGCCTTGGAGCTGCTGCAACTGCGAGATGCGTGGAAACAGGAAACATGGGTCAAGGAGCACGGAAAGATTTTTCAGATCCTTGGTGAGCAAACAAATGTTGAATACATGCGGCTGTGTTGGCTGTTAGATCTCGCTGAATACATTAACTATGTAACTATTTCATATTATATATAGAGGTAGATAGTTACATCTATTTGTAGATGCAATATGATAGAACAAGCATTGGCAGCAGCCACATTGTACAATATCCTGGTTTTCACTCTGGTTGGCTCTCGCGACTGCAGTCAATCATGACCTTGAGTGACTTCAAAGGCCGCTGTAGTCTGTCCCAGCCCAGCTGGTGGATGTCAGTGATTCCTTCCACTTGGTACCAAGTCTGTTTATATACAGTAAGCAATTTTAAGCCTTGGGTTTATAAAATGTATGAAACATGTTTGCTGCCAAGGACCTGGACTCCGTTTGGGAGCGTGGTTTGCACGTCTGACCCTGGTGCAACGCGGTACATTGCAGTGAAGAAGGGGAACAACTACCGGAAGCCATGTGTTTATGGAAGGCTGGCAAGCCAGGGCTTCGAGCATGTCAGTGTTCGGGGTCTGACCCGTGACATCCATGATGGTTGCTTTTTCGGTTTGAGCATGTTGGTGTGAAGTCTTGATTCTTGGTCTTAGTTCGCCGCTTAGAGCTTGTTGTTTGATGCAAAGCCATGATACTAATATGCCATTTCATCAGCTATACAGAAGCTAGAACCTCAATGATAAGTCGGAGCTCATTGCCCCCGCATACACGTACTGATACCGAGGTACAACTTGCCAATCCTGCAATACTTATACAAGGATCTTAAGGGGCCTTGTCGTGATGATGTCCTACTAACAGCAAAGATTTGTCAGTATTAGAGATGTGTTTTCTTGTTTACCAGATGGCGCGTTGTGTGATACTGTAACCAGTTGTCATTGTAGATTATACGGTACAGTATACGTCTTACATCAGCATACATTGGCATACATCTTCCATGCAGAAACCAGCCAGTCTTTCTGAATGACCCTGTTCAACAACCCGTCACCTCCACGTATGTGAGGGATTTGCGCCTATCTGAACGCATTGAAGATGCTTTGGGCCCTGGCAGCAGCTTTCCCAGCTTCGAGGTGGGGATCAGCTCTTTGATGTGGCAAAGAGCTGACAGTGGTTTCGCCATTACAGAATTATTTGCCGGGGGCGTAGGCCGGCCCCTGGAGGTAGTAGTAGCTATGGAGGTATAGAGTAGAAGCAAACGGTAGCTAGTAGCTTGAGTAGCTACTACCGACAGGACGCAGGACAGCTCACGCTTCCTTGAAGAAGCGCTTGCATTATTCATTTGGTTCCTAGATTTTTGGGAAACTTGTCGTGAATCGATTCTATTTGTCAAGAACACGATCACAGCTACCAGGCATGGCGGTGGAGAAAGCAATCTCTGCAAGGAGAGCTCAGCTTTCAACGCCTTCTGCAGTCACCCAAGCTCCTTACTGTCCTGGAGGAGCTTGGCATAGAAATGCCACTTGGCCAGGCAGTTGGCCATCACACAGTGGCTGGTGATGGCTGGTGGCCATGCTTGTTTATGTTGCTAATCCGAGTTATTCGAAGTTGTTCATCAAAGTTAAAGTACAAAATCAGTTTTTATGTTCGAAGCATCCACCTTGGGGGTATCAAGAAGGCATGGGTGATTGGGTGGAGAGTTGGCAAGGAGCCACCACCCGGTGATGCTAGATGACAGAAGATGCGACAGACACAGTTGATATATGTTGATGTGATCGATTTTTATGTACATAGGCCATCAACACACTGACTGCCGCGCGAGCCATTTGTTTCACTAATGCAGGCACAGGAAAGCAAATTCAAGGCAGGTGGCTGGGTTTTGTTATGTTTTGTTGCTTGCGGCAACTCTGCAGCCTGCTTCGGAGCCTAGGTGTGAAACTCTTGATGCTGCTGTGGCTACTGGAAGCGTCGTACGAATGAACGATATCTTCTCCCGAGCAACAGCTGGAGCAGTATCCTGCTCGCAGAAGCATGACGCGGGTTCTAGTCTCATGTTTGTCAACCTAGCAGTCAGGGTAGTATCACGTGATTTGGCTGCCACTTGCGTCCGATGTGGATACAGAATTCCAAAATCATCTAAACGCCTTTGTACTGTGAGGGGTAAAATTGTCGAGATGGTGGTTCCAGAGCAGACATTCTGCATTATTTGCATTGTTGCAGGTTTTCCAACTTCTTTTCGGTCGACGGCTGGAGTTCAACTCTAGAAAGCTGGAAGAGAGCACGGAGGAGACGTCTTTTGAGACATGGGGTGCTTGCGTCGGATAAGGCAGTTTCCATTGAATTCCTATCAGTCCAGGCCAGGCTCAGTGCTTCATTTGTCAAATGGGCACGCCTTTCAAGTTTCAGGCGCATGTGTTCGAATGATTCAATTAAGTATCCACCGTGAATGGACCCTCTTTTAGAGGGCAGTATTTTTTGTTGGTTCTGGCCTTTCTTGCCATGCCTTGTGAAACCCTGGAAGAGCATTTGATAGAGGAACAGGGTGCTGTAACATGCACTCTGTTGTAATTATACTAGAGTCTAGATATCTGGTTTGGCATTTTATGGAATCAATGCTGTGAGAGCATGTGGATCTGGAAAAGCCTTTTATACAGAACTTAGGTGTTGACGTGCATGGCAGCGTCCGCACCTGGATCTGTTTTGCGCTGCATTTTATAGAAGCCACATGTGTGGAAGGGCTCCCCCGTGAATGATGGTTGGGGTCACTTGTTTGTAACATTGCAAGAGATCAATTCTTTCTTTTGCAATGACTGGTAGGAGTAGGAGGTAAAAGAAGAAGAGTTCTATACTAGCAATACAGAAGTCTCGTACAACAAGAATAGCACGAGATAAAACCATATGAAATGGTTGGCAATAGTTTTAAAATTAACTCTACGACATGACTGGAAAGAGACAAATCAGCTGAACAAATGTTGCCTCTGTAAAATGACATTATATACCAGATTTATTGGTTTGAATTTGAACACAATATATTTGCAAACATTTGTCGGATTAGTCACTTTATAGTTGAATATTTGCTTTATTAAATGCCATGACCAAGTTCTTTCATGATCTCTACATATTCATTTTGTGGCGCTTCTATATAACTACTATATAGACCAGATTGTTTATTTTTATAAGCATGTGTTTATTTTGCTTTCTATACGACATGTTGAACAATTTTTACTTGGTTTGCCATTTTAGTGAAAACATGTTCTCCCAACATTTGGTCTCAGTCATTTTTCCCATTGTATAGAGATTTGCACTCTTTGGCTTGGCGCCACTCATGTTTTAGAGGTGTTATCTCTTGAGGGCCATTTTATAGATATCGTTTCTGTATAGAATGATGCCTGGGAAGTGATCCGAACCATCATTCACG